TTTTCGCGCCATGATTTTGCGCATTCCTCACTTACTCGAGGCGCAATGTGAGGCAAAGATTGATACGTTACTGCATCAGCTTTTATTGTGACATAAATAAGATCAGAAAAATGACTGAAATCCATTCTTAGAAAGTAAAATTTTGTGACATTGATGTAGTTATGTCTCAAACTACGAATTGTCATAACGAAAGACTTTTGAGTTTTTTGAAAACTTTTCAGTAGTTTAATAAAGTTCTATTGACCTTCATATGGAGATCTTTCATTAAAACACTTTCCATAATGCATATATACATGTGAATTTGGATTACTGAAGCATATATCCGTTTGTTAAAAGACAGTGATGATTCCGATGAAATTTAGAGTAGTATTGGCAACTTTTCACCGACATTTAAGTGTGCATAGCAGCAAAATGTTTGTCTCTACTTCCAAATATTGACTTTCTACTAAATACTTGAATACGTTTTCTTGTGTTGGGCTTCATTTAAGTTACGCAACCGATAATTTCTTATATCTAGGATGGCTTAAAAACAGGATATTTCCCTTTCTTTAGCATGTAGGCCGAACAAGCATTTCATCTAACATAACTTGTGACTGTCTTTAGTTGTTTTTTAGCCCCTATATCCTACCAAACAGATAAGTGACTCGCTTAATACTCTAAATACCAGTAACAGGAGTAGATGTAAAACAAGTATTGGAGAGGTAGAGAATATAGAGGGTGATGGAGTTTTATTGCGGGTGCATTATCAGCATTTCCTCAAATAAATAAGATATGTAGGAAAAAAAGAAACTATGCGAGATTGGGGGGTTTGAATACCTGCTTTAGGTACTTAGTTTTTAACTATTCCCTCCAAAAGACCTCCATATTAGTCATAGCAGTCTAAATTTATTGCCACCTTAGCAAAAAGCGTATCTGATTAGCCTATTACCTTTTGTGGTTTATTTTGTATGATACTTTACAGTCACATAAGAAAAACGTGTACTGTCACTTCTGAATAATTTTATAGGTGTTTCTGACCTCCTAATGATACACTCGAAGATAGTGATGCCACGGGTGAAGAGATAAAAAACACAACATTAGAAGCAAACAAACCGTAACATAGAAAATGTTAGAAGTACTTTATATTCAACGGATAAGTACTGAGTACAGGCGGACTCTCAGATACGTGTGTCTCTACCTATTCGGGACTCATGAATTCGATGTGCCTGCACCCTAGTGAGTGGTGATGCACCAACAAAGACTTGAACTAATTACTTCAAACGCCAGCCGTTATGCCTTATTATTGCTCGAAGATTGATTACGGGAGAATATAAACATCATTAGACAACAACTGATGCTCTTTACAAAGTTAGTGGCTCCATAGAGTCATCAGCTTAATAAATGATGCTATTGAGTTTGATTAACAGGGAAGCACAAGTATGAATATGTAAGTACACTACTTACACACAACAGGAACCAATAAATCAAACAAGGTTTTGGCTTGAACCAATCTTTGTGCGATAGCATTGGACTCGGTCATCTACTCAGTGTACGTTTGGTTAGTATTTTCAAAGTTGAGATGGTAGGTTTAACAAAGTACTTCAGAAGTGGGATACTCCAACCCGTGTATATTATCATAAAAGCGCCAAGAGCAATCAGAACATAAAGTCTTTAACTCCAGATCAGTAGTGCTATATTTCTCAGATCGTTGTTCACACCCGAAACCAAACCTTGTTGCCGAAGATCCCCGTGGATCAGTATTTTATCAATGCTTCATTGGTAGAGAATACAGCAAACAATAGGCTTCGCAATGTTTCCTATAGAATTGATTTTTATCTGCTTGCATTTAAATAGATAAGTTAGTACATGTATCGTGAATACTAAAATTATATGTCCTTGACTAGTCTGTCAGTGAGACAAACAAATGTTGTTGCGAACAAGTGATCCACTTATGTTCTGAGCACAACTACCCACAAGATGCTACCATTCACTCTAGATCCACGTTCGGAACATGGAGATTTTGAGTCGTTCTGTGACTCAATCATCCGTGATGTCCTTGAGTGAAGACATTTTTCTGTAGTCAAGTCAGTATTAATCAGACTAATTACAAGGTCAATTAGTAATCATCGAACAAATACTCTCATAATAATGACCACTTTTACTTTATGAAACCCCTGTTACCAATGTTACGTTGCGAAACTTGGTAAAATGAAACTTCATTTATGCTAATTCCTTCTTGGTATTAGTCCCAGGTTTTTCAGATGATTACACTATCAATAACTATGATGTTATGTAAAAAAATGTCTCCACTACTGTGTTTGTGCATTTTTGGCAAGAGAATTACGAAAATTATGAAATATGCATAAGGTTGTCTAAAACACTTTAAGTTCAGTCAGCAATACTAAGTGCATTTTTTCTCTTCCATACCTGTCGGACACAAGCTACAATCGATTCCGCAGACTTGAAAAGAGAATTATTTTCTTATATGTACTGCCAAGCCTCTCGATGAAACTAGAACTATAATCCATGTTTACCCAGTCAATCGGTTCATATAAACAAGACACTGAGAGCAGTTCTACCACTGTTCATGATTTAGTTATGTACATTTGGACAGGAGGAGGCTACATCTAATTTATAGGCTGTAAATCTAAACGTCATTCCGTATAATAGCCTATTGAATGAAGATACTTGGAATTTTAAACATCTTTATGTTTGTTCCAAAAGAAAGGTGACAGCCAACCATTTAATGTAATGTGTTTTGCCCAAGTAGAAGGTAGTCGGTCACTGATTCAGGAATTTAAGTACTAGCTGATGGGTAGTGAACTCAAGCTCATTGTAACTATTTCGTGTTGTGCTATGGGGTAGTATTGGAGGGCGAAACGTGAATAGCTGAAAGATGGTTTAATATGACAATTATACACTACTGATAAAATATTATAACCTCATATTGAAATATAAATCTGCATACTATGTTTAATTATATCTTCTTCTATCTCGTCTTGCTATTGACAAGGTCATGTCATCTTTCGCTCTTCTCTGAGCATAATATTTATTCATCGCTTGTAATTGCCTATGTCTTTTGACCTCTCAACATATACTATTTACACGTATTCTTATCAGTCCCACCCACTGCAGTATCACTAACCTTGACGCTGGTGTTACTTACAACAAGGTACACAACCTGTATGAGGTTGCTAAACAGCATTTCATCTCTTAACTTATTATCCATATAACTTCGTTAGACAAGAATGCTTCGGAGCACTTAATGCCAGAGTAAAGCAAAAAAGCTGACAGACCTTGTTGTTATCGATCCTAAGTAGATGATATGGGATACAGTCACTTCTACTGTGGTTGATAATGTATTTTCGGTGAATAATCAACCATGTATTTTAGCTGCTATTTACTACACTATGTGTACTTAAGCTGTGTCGATATCATATCTACATGCAGTTAATGCAGATATTAAGGACAGAGTTAGGTGAAACTGCTTATACAATTCATTATCTTACTGGTTTTTGCCTTATAAAACTTTAAGAGCAATGATGTGTTTTATTACTAAAAGTATCACACCATGCTTTATCTGCAAAAGGTATTGCTTTAAACATTTTTTTTCCAGATTTCAGAGCTCCATTGTTGCTCATGACTAGGTTGTTTGATTAGTCAGTAGACCTTTTTATACAGTCGTTAGAAACATTTTTTAACAAAAGCTTACAAAACAGTTTATTAGTTGTGAGGTTACAATCCTTTTTGGGTCCCAACTTTTGTTTTTTTACGAGACAGTTGATTAGCTATCAAATCTAGTAGTTGGGCTAATAAAAAGTAACAAAAACCTCATTTTATGATGAGTAGTTATCACAGAGTTCTTGGCATCCTTAGTACTGAACACAAATTTCAAGATCGTGGAAGAGTAAGTATACACTCACTCAGTTTTACTGGCCTTCGACTTATGTTCAAATAAACATACTATATTTTTATGTGATACAGCCCTGGCATTATGTGGGTTATCCAGAAAAGAAATAACATTGTAACCGTTACTTGTCATCAGCGCTTGGCAAATAAGCAATTCCTCCTATTTCGCAGTCAGCAGCAAAGTCATTCCGCGTATTCTACAAACAGTCGGCTTTGACTTTGTGAATAGAAGACAGATTACTTGATTCTGTCTACTCCATGTAGTTTGTTAATTAAACCACTCATATGGATCCAGGTACACCTGTGGCAAGATTAGGCAAGTACGCCGTCGAGCTTCCTAACATTGTTTGTCTTAGCTAAGCAAAAGACATGAAGTTTCAAACTCTTGGTTGTATTGTGTTCTCTGAGAACACAATACAATCAAGACCATCCATCTGAGCTACAAATATTCTCCATTAGTTTCAAACTCTCACGTCTGACATGCTGGACACAGTCAATACTAATGGCTTTAACATTATTAACGAAGTATATCCATTTATTCATGAAGAAGAAGAAGAAGACATGCATGAGAGAAGAAATATTTTTTTCAACGACTTCATTATCAAGCTGTACAGTTGTATTTATGATCGGTAAAATAACAGGTAATTGTACTATAAAGTTGCTGAGTCAATATGTAAAATATACAATTGGTGTTGGTGGTGGGATTTGTTCAAGTAGAAGAAGTGGAAAATGGGTCACTGAATAAGGACCTTTGTTTGCATACTAGTAAATACATTACCTTATAACGTGACAGTTGTGTCGGCTTACTGAAACTAAGCTTATTTGTTTAATCTGTATTATGCTAAGGTTAATCAAATGGATTGTGTCCATTATTCTACTAGTGAGTGCTGACAGATGAATGCCTTTTTTAATATGAAGTTAGAATATACTTACTGATACTGAAAACCAGTTATTACTGATAAATTTCAGTGCATTTACCTCATACTTGCATAGAATACCTCAAAATTTTAAAGTAAATCCTTAAATGAATAAAAAGAGATTTTTATATGACATTACATAAATTTACTAATTGTCTGGAATTTAACAGCGTATTATTTCATTTTTTTTCGGAAGTCCTAAAAATGTACGTAGATGCAGAAAAATGGAATACAAATTTGGGAAGAGATGTTATTCTGCAGTATGGAGTTGAGTTGATTAACAAAACCGTGAAAGATGACTTAGTGCCTCAGCTACTGTTAGACACAGTTAAAGAGATTTATCAGGATATAAATTCAAATATATCAAGCCTGGATGCTCTAGCTTTTTATAAAGTAAGAACCTGATTGGTGTTCTGATGCAAATAAAATTCTACTTTTCTCTTAACTATGTTGAAGATATTTGATTATATCCAGTATGTAGCTTCAAGTGGTTCACCGTGCTCCTGCAAGTAATTACTATCACATTATCAGTAATTATCTTGTTGGATGGTAGCAAAATACTGAGCACAAATCCATCGTTTATCAACTGCCTAATTTTTAAAACTAGATTTGATAAAATGCCAGTACCCAGCGTTAAGAAAACCACTTAGAAACCAAAATGACAGTCATGGTCTATTGATGCTCTTGTGGCTCTACAGAACGAATTTCTGGCATTTAAAGCGAAGGGTGGCAGGTTTGAGTCTCGATGAGAACACCACCACTCACTGATCGGCAGGTACATCCATCTGATAAGTCCCAAATAGAAATGGAGGCGTGTCCTTGATTCCGCTGTTAACTACAGTCGAGTAAATAAATCATAATGAGATTTTACTGGAAGTTTCGTCAAACCACATAAGTGGGGAAAATAGAGATGTCTGGTACTGAAGATAGAAGTTCTGCTTGAAGCACAATTTTTTAAGCATGAAATACATGATGCTTGTGATATTATTGATTTTGTTTGGAATCAGGTTACGAGTCATTAAAATCATTCTATGCTAGTTATCATCTAAAGTTCAAACATGTGAGATTTTGTGCACTAAGGAAGGAATAAATGTATTGCACAAATGTACAGAATTCCTGCAGAGTACATCATGCAATATAAGATGTGCAGTACGCTATAGAATTCAACTCTAATTATCAGAATAAAGCGCGAAATTTGTCATTACAGTAATGTTTTCCCTAATGTGGTTGTGCAGCGATAACCCTTTTCTTTAACATTTGGTAGCAGATAAACACCAAGTTATGCAGTCTTTGATTAGACATGGCTACATTTATAAGTTCATTCAACAAAGGTTCAATATCTTGTAACAAGCAACAACCACTGGTAGCAACATCTGCAGTTCAGTGTTCCTGAACAGTTCTTAAGAGCATCAACCTGATGAAAGGTAGTACGTAGTTGTAAAATATTGCGATGGAGAAAGCTAAATAATAAGATAGGTACTCGTTTGAGTCAGTACAGCATGAAAGGTTTCAACAGTTTCAGTATAACGAAGTATTGTAATTGCACTAGAAAAATGTATCAATAACTCGGAACATAAATATTTCACATTTGTGATCTCAACAAACTAACTTGTAGTGTAGAACTGTAGATAGACTCAGCAGTGTAGAATTATCAGATTTACACTTATTGTAACTTTATTCAACCTTGATCTATTTAGTAAAATATACCGTTAGACATTTTTTTAATATCAGTGATCTATCACGCTTTATATTTTGATATGTTCTTAGTTCCAAAAGATTTAAAGTTAAAGCTAAACTAATTGGATTTCTCTTTATTCCCAGTTGGAGCATCTTTTTTTCCCAACAGCTGATAATAGAAGGTTTGAGTCGAACTTGCAGTAGGTGGTTACATTTATACAACACCTAACCGAGTTTTGTCAATCTAATACGCTTCATGTCTAGTAAAACGAGTATGGTTAGGCTCATTAATAAATGTATAGTAATGATGGGTAGTGCCTAGCAGTGGAATCCAAGATGTGCATTTCGTCTTATTTGGGACTCGTCAGCTGGATGTACCTGCCTCCCAGTGAGTGATGTTGTTCCCACTGAGATTCATTAACAAATGTCTTATAATTTCCTAATGAGGTAGGTCAACCGTCAATAACGAGATTAGTGAATTTAAGGTAAGTAATTTGTATTCTTTAGTTAACACTTTTTGCTTGGTACCTATGTCCATTATCAGGTAGTCGATCCGTGTACGTAAATCAGTTCTGCAAAAGCTCACTTATATTTTGATAAGCCTAATGATGAAGTTTGTGAATTCAGTACTGAATGATGCAAGTTTTTAATCCTTGAAGATGTATTATCCTTGTAAAAGTTGCAGATGTGCGCAGATGATGAATGGCTGACCAAGGCCCCCTACTAATCAACTTCAAACGATTAACATTGACGGTTGTAAATTTTTGTTTCAGGATATTTGTTTATTGATCATAGTGCATTTTGTGCAACAGTCGTGACTGACAGACAGTTTTGAACACAGGTAGATATTAAACAACATAAAATATGGAATTTCCCCAAGTCGCAACATTCCACATCGTAACATTATTATGAACGATAACAAAAATCAAAGCAAATTAATGAAAACATTTTTATCAAAAACCTCGTAAAATACTATAAGATCCAATAAAATGGAGGATGAATATGTGCAATATTACTACCTGGGCGAAAACAGAATCTTGATGCTTCCTTATCACCGCCATTTTTTTTGAGCTATATGATCTAGAGTTTGTAATCATCATTTTCTTTTATCTCACGAACTTTGGACAGGAAATCTACTTCATGGTCACGAAGACATAGTTCTTGACTGCTTTAGTGCAACTTTAAAACGGAGCTAGAAATGAAATTTCCACATATATTCAGTGTGTATGATGTCTACTTGTCTGAATACATCGGACATATGATTAGCTGATCTAATGCCTTTCAAATTCTAAAATCTAAGGTTTAAAAGCTGGCAATCAGAAAACAGGCAATTTAACTCTACAAATCAGTTTTAAATTTCACAAAATAATTCCATAATAAATGTTATCAGTAGTCATTTATCGCTACAGTGTATATGAGCATCAAAATTTTACTGATTCAGCAAAACATCGTATACCACAATAAACTTCCGAATTCTGTGATTTGAATGTAGTTGGGTGGTGTTTTTTCTTTCTCACACAGTTCTCATGTAAGGCTGTGTTCTTGACTTCTGTTTGATACGTATGCTAACTACAGAGGTGTTAAAGGGTAAGGTTTAATGTCCCCACACTTGGTTCGGAACAGTGGATAAAAAAGGTGTGTTAGGATTAGAAGAAAAACCACTACCAAATCAATGATAGAAATAAGCTTGAATGTTTAGATGAAATGAAAATTATATTAGCCTATTCCGACCACTGTAGTCTGTAGGAGAATGGTTCTAGACGTTAAGTTGATGACTGCCAAATTAGATTTTAACTGTGGGTCTTAGGTAACAGTCCTCTGAGCTAGCTATTAGCTTCAGTATATAGACTGATGTAGAACACCAGTCCCCAACAATTCGTAATATCATTTCATTCTACAGTGAAGGTTTTCAAATAATTAACAGTATCCACACTAATAATCACATTGAAAATGCTGTTTTTGATTGTTTACCTAGTTTCTTTATCTACCTGCTCACTATACCATTTTTTACCTTTGTTTTCACGCCAATTTGTTGCTCAGAGTTGTATTATTTTCGAACTGTGTCTACTACTGTGAATCACCAAATACCTGCTTTATGCAACAGTCCTCCAATATGATATCTAGCGGATCTACCTTGAAGTTATGTATAATATTAAAGTTTACCGCCTTCATTCCCGTGCATTGATGCGTATCAGAGATTATACACGTTTAGTTAGAAAGTTAACGTATTTCAGAGAATAGTTAACAATAAACCGGTGGACAGCTGTGAATATGTCTTTTGTTCTACCTCTGGAGTTCCTTGTTTGATTTCTTTAGAGTTTTATTTTTTTCTTATACTCATTAGATTACGACTAATCTCATCCCACTAAACTGATATTCGGTTGGCTGACCATGTTAATAGGACACTTTTTGCTTTAATGCTTTACTTTAATCATTTTGATTATCTGGCTGTACTAAAAAGTCACTATGCTCCTTGATATTCCCAACATTTTTATTTACAGAAGTGATCAGCAGTCTGAACATCTCACTGACCTTTTTTCAAGTTAATAGATGAAGTTTAAACTAGTAACGTGCGTAATTTGAAAAACCATTGGTCGGTTGGATCCAATACTCCCTGTGGTGATGTAATAGGGCTTGGTAGGGAATAGTCACGAGTTTATGCGTAACTTTACAGGCCACCCTAACAACTGCTGGACTGACCAATCAGGCTTCAGTGTTTCACATGGAAAAGTACTTTTCCATAAAATAAAAGAATGTAATTGGCTGTCTCATCAATTGCTAGTGTGACCATTAAAGTCACCCCGAGTTTATCATGGCAATAAAAATAAACATACAAACTATCTGAATCATAATCAGTTCCCTGGAGGTTATTGGCTGTCTGCAGGCTAAGCTAGAAGTCTTTGTATCTTCAGAAAGAATAGTGAAGGCTTGGCGTAAAGCACTGTGCAATATATATATATATATATATATATATATATATATATATATATATATATATATATATATATAATATATGTAATCCAACACAACCTAGTCATTTTTATACGATGCTCAAAAATCAATCTTTTCTTACCAATTTCTGTCGAAGATTTCAGGAACAAATTTAATCCAAACCTGATTTTATATTCTCTGTTGTTTGAACAAAGTGTTTAACTGGAATAAGAAATGATTTGAAAAGTAGACATTGGTACATTGTGCCAGTACGTACGACTACTCAATATTAGTTTGAATGGAGAAATTCACTAATATGCCAGTCTATTATTGTTCCACCGAAAATGTGATTTATGCGTTGATGACTTCATTTCAATTACTGGTTTCATTATGAATATGATTTCATAAAGATTATTGAAACTCACTGTTTTCATTTTATCAACTTAAATTGGATAAAAGGAATTGGAAAATCAAACAGTTGGTAATATCGCACCGAAAGTGATCACTTCAGAGCTGAATAAAGTCCTTCAACCAAAAGAATTCACTCAGTCAAATAATATACACAAAATCAATTCTGAAACAAAGCCAGCAATAGAATGGCATGAAACAGTCGGGTGTACAGTTTTAGCTGACAGGGCTGTAAAAAATGCTCTGGCATTTGACATTCTAGAATGTGTCTTACAGGAAGTATTCACACATGCAATACCAAAACTTGTAAGTATTAAACATACAGTATATAGTTTTTTTCTTTTCATGTGTACATTGGGATTTGATTATTGCACAACACAGAGAATTGATATGTTTATATGACATAATTCCCATCTTTAAATGTCAATTTTGATGACAGTAGATGACTTATTAAACATGTTTTGTCTGATAGAGAGAGAGACCGATGATTTAAAGCTTGTAAAATAACTTATGCATAAGAGCAATTAATTGACTTTATAAATACGATCATTGCTTACGGTTCATTGGCGGTTAACATTCAAAACTGGACTTTCCTTAAGAAAGCATCATCTTCAGTGGTGCTGTATGCGGATGAAAATTAGGCTTACGTTTCAAAAGTACTTACTGAAGCAATTGCCATTGAAGTGAATAATAAGTAGGCGTGATTTGTTTCCTTGTTACTGATAAGTCTAATGATATAGGTCTGGTTTGTCTGGTCTTTAATGACTGATTCAGTTCTCGTTTATCTTTCTCGGTTTATGCAACTGGAATTTTTTCCGATTGACCGTTCTCACTTTTACGTAGACATGATCAAACTTTTCTTGTTGATTTTTAAGAAATGGGTTTAGGTTCAAATCCCGCTTTCACTATTTCAACTGGATAGTACGATAAATCCTAAAAATAGGTGAGCCTCATAGCTTAGTATACATAACTACACGGAGGTAAATTGTAGAACTCGTTTTTTCAGGTTGCTCTCCGATTTCCGTCTTCTGGTCAGATCGAATCTGTTTATTCCCTCCATTTTATGAGTTTACAACTGCTTGCTTTGTTTCCTTCGGAAATGAATATCGAAAGAGCCACCGTTTGATTTATTCTAGTCCGCTTTCATTTTCAAAGCAGTCGGAATCCACTTCGCTGAAGTTATTTTAGAACTGTTGTGATGATCGGAGGTTCATTTCATAAAATTCATCTTGATCAGCTTATAATTGGTGCTACACTTACATGTCTATTGTTTGGGTGTTTACTTGTTTCTAGAAAGAATTGTGATATAAGAATTCCTTCGCACCTGGTTTCTAAATAGTTATGATGTTTTGGATTCATCTTATGTTATTAGAAACAGCCAGTCGGAAGAAATATAAAAACAGTGGCAACACATGTGACTAAATGCAACTAAGATTTACGTCCAACTTTAAGAAACATAAATGTTTCAGAAATTTATTTTGGCATGAGGATGAGTTAAAACAGTGATGATAATAAATTTTATTATGTATAAAAATGATGCAAATGTTCACTGGTTCATGTTAACGCGGAGTATTTCAAAAACAGGTATACCACCTATAAGCTGGAAGTGACTAGAAATATCCAACTTAATGGAATACCATTTGGATGCATATTTCTCACATTTTTAATAACTAAAATTAAACTAAAGCTACTTGATTCACTTAGTAATTTGCGAGAACTGAGTATTTTCTCCATTTACCTTAGTCACACTGTCACCAGTTTTGGTAGATGGTTTTCTAAATTTAATTTCTGATTGTTGTTTCATTAAAATAGAAGTTTCCAGCCTTATCTTGAAACGATTATCTTGATGCTATCAAGGAAGTATCAAATATTATCAAGGTATGATGGAAGGTGGCATTCAATCATCGGCATAAGAAGTATTTGTGCCAACACAGACTGATCAGTTGAGTCCTGTAAATCAACCGTGAAAAATTCCAGGCTCTAAAAACAACTACCAATTTAGCAAAAACAGACTGTCTTATTTCATTAGCTAATAAGAAGTTGTTTCAGGCCTCATTAGGAACCTTAATAGTCATCCTGTTGAAGATTTTAAAATAATATGAAAGGCTTGTCCTAGTGACTCGAGTGAGTAAGCGGATGCATGACTGTATGAAATATTTTGAATAATTCTGAATGATCACTGCTCAAAGATGCTCCCCCTAAATAAATTATACTTCACCTGGTTTCGAATGTGAGAACTCTTTATCCGACAAAAATGCATCATCTTAGTCCATCATTGTAGCGCATGCTAAAATATATAAGAAAAGTGTTCGACTACTTTACTATAATTAATCTAGAAAACAAATTGTTCGACAAGGTTATTCTTGCCATGCAGTAGCATAGTACAACATGTGAAAGTTGTATCTTAGCGCGTAGTAGGTCAATGGAATAATCAGAAAAGCAGCCTCACGCAGAAAACCAGAGTTAGGATGAATAAAACTTAGCATTAGCAATTTAGTAATAAAAAAACTTTAAAATTGATCTTTGTCTGGGAGATTAGGTTCACTTTAATCATCTACTGTTCTGTACAGTGTAGCTTCAGTTACTATAGATTTCGCAAATCTCCGTGTTTCCCTACACATTTTCAGCGAAGTTGCTTATTGTATGTAACATAGCATATTACATGATGACATATCATATCATTCAGCTAACTTTTAATTCTTGATTAAGTCACAGGAAGAAGAAGGGATGATGTAGACCTCCACTTTGATTTGAATATGGTTAGTGGTTTTTTGATGGAACCTTGTAGAAGCAAAGTTGAAATTAAACAACTTGTCTGTTACCCTCCACCTCTTTCCTTTCTCCGTGAGGTGTTTGAGACTACAAACTGTTCATCACTCAGTAACAGATTGTTGCTGGTACACACAATCCGTGTATTAAACTTTTTCATTTGTGAGGTTTGTGGAAATTTATTTATTGATTTCAGGTTGGTATTCCCACTGATTTTACACAAAGGTACAATATCAGTTTTTCACTGCTGCCTCTTAACTCTGAGTTTGAGAATGAAGACCGAAGAATACTACAGTTTTATCACTGAAGACGCTACGTTGATGACAAACTACTGAAATTTACTTTTTAATTACGCTCATTGTTCTATGAAATTATGCTGTAATAGTGTGTGTTGTGATCAAATGTGTCACTTCAAAAAACACCAATTTTTGATCTTATACAAGTTGAATAAAACAGCTGTAGCCGTATTTTTGAAATCTGATGCCAGTAGATGTTAAACTGTTGATATGTACCAGAGAATAAAAAAGATCCTGAAATAATACCAGAATAAATGACAGAAATATAACTAAATGCAGGCTTCATTCTAATATGTTTGCTAATGAGGCAAACTCCGTTACATTTTTTTTAAATCCACCTTGTTCGCAAGCTTTTTTCAGTTGTACGTAATGGCCTAGCTTACCATAACGTGCAAAGTGCTTGTAAAGCAGCAATTATCTAATAGAACCTTGTTGTAAGTAATATAGATGTAGTCAGTGCTGTTAGATAACTTTAATTGCCTCTATCTTACTATTCTTCGGAAGTAAGACGTCATTTGAAGGCTGAAAATTAATTGATTAATTGGTGGAATTGAACTGTAGTTTATTTTCAGAAATAAATCTATAACATTAGTTTCATTCCTGTGGATTCCGGTGAGCTTTTCGTGATGTTCTATCACTTTATTTACTCAGGTGAAGTACACGGTGATGGAACAGTTTGTTTCTATCAGTGTTTTTTGAAGAAACAATCAGTGAAATAATCAAAGAATTGACCACCAGGGATTATAATCTTCGACGCAAAATACTACGGCTGCATCGACTAAAAATGGTAATTTCACAGTTAGTGAAGCTATTAGAAATATTCTGAGTAAGTAGACTGATTTTTATGCTAAGGATCGATAACTGAAATCTAAAGAAAACCGGGATTATGGTAGAGTTACAAACACCTTTCATTTAGTCTTTCTTTGACTACCGTTCCTAATAACTTCTTACATTACTCTATAACTAATGAACAAAATCTTATTGTTGTAGCTAGGAGCTTACTAAACGAAGATACCAATTAACTTTTGGTTACTTATTTAGTGGAACCCATCTCCGTTCTCACGAATGATGTAGAAATGGTGATTCGCTTAGACATTTCCAGGTACATATAAGCATATACACTAAGTGACATATTCGGTAGAAGTGACAGGTAACACTTGTTGAACAGGATATAACTGTTGTAACACATTAATCCAGGGTTTAGCACTTCAATGTTCAAAACTGAAGGCACTGACTTTGAATGTCAGTGAGAATAGCGATATTTGCTGGTATAGACCTTAAGTAAGATGAAATGTGCGTCGTACTTGCCATTTTCGGTTAATACAAAGGAACTGATACTGATTCCTGCTTACGAAGAGTAAAGTCATGTAGATCAGCAATAGGAAAGATTGAAAGTTATATTAATAACCATACACTGATTATACGTTTCAGAAAACTTATATGTTTGCGATACACGATGATGCGAAGCACCTGATTCAGAGTTACGCCTATAGATGTTCCAACATAGAAAAAAAACGAATTTTAATGTTAATTTCAACACTTTAGTTAGAGTCATTTCGTCTGATGATAGTTACTGAGAAATGTTCATTGTAGTTTGACTTGTTTTCAAAACACAGGATCCACTGAATGTTTTCATCAGTAATCAAAAAATTCAGTGGGACAAAACCTTTAGACTGTGCATTTAGCCAGCAAAAGTTGTATCAAATAGCTGAACAAAGTCACTGATGAAAACTATACGAAATAAACTTATATAGGTGTTCAGAACTGGATTTTGAAGACGAAGCAACTGATATAGAATAAAATAGTTTAAGAAATGACGGTTATCCTCATTGTGAGTAGTGCTTTTTCTGTAGTAATAATGAAGGGTTTTTGTAATCGGCATACATCTGCAACTCAAATCTTTGACATTCAATAAGTAAAAACCTTACTTTGGTAGATATGATATTTAGCAAGATACATGGACTTTATTGAAACAAATGCATCCACTTTATCAGCATCTTAATTTATTGAATAACATTGTACCTAATACTAATGGATTTCAGTTGAATGGAATGATATTATAAGCGTTAAGCACACTTTTAAACTTTTATATCGTGTTCTATTTGGTTCATATTGGTTATATTACAACTAGATACTTTCAGAATGATTAAAGTTGACAGTGAATCGTAGTGAAATGTAATTAGTGGATCTGTAAGTCGAGTGTTTGAGGATAGTAACTAATAACTATAATCATACAAAATTAAAGCGAATTTGTTTTAGATTGATAACATAGCAAGAAAAAAACCTGGAGATGTTTTGGTATCGATGGCCATTGACGCATTGTTACCCCTTGCAATTCCTGGTCCAGTTACCGGAACTTATACAAGTAATCCACTCCAAGAAAAATTACTGAAAAGTCAGTAACGTTTTTTATCATTAAGGGTATTTTACTGATTATATATATATATATATATATATATATATATATATATATATATATATATATATATATATATATATATATATATATATATAATTTTTAACTAATCACATTGCTCAGTGGTATATTTCATCATTTCATGATTAGTTCGAGGCATAAATTAGAGTCTGTGTTCCCTATTAGGTGATTTCCAATGGGAAGTTTTTTGACACCACCGGTGAATGGTTAAAACTAATCATCTGTAGTAACTGTCAACACATGCTACGCCGCTGCATTCAGTTCATGTTGTTACATTGACTTAACCTGCAAAGTTCATCAGAATGTACTACTCAGATTGACCTCAAACAAGTGAAACTGGAATATGCTGTTTAAAGTTCTTCAATCTAACGTTAGCAGTTTATATACACTCATATTGCTTAATACTGCATTTTGTGCGTACGAATTATTGCGAAAAACAACAGATAGTTCAAGTCCTTAGTTAGTGGTATGTTGAGAATCGAGGGTCGTTTTATCAACCTGAGCCACATTTGATATCTGTAAGGTATTGGAATCTCTAGTACAGAATGTTTTGTACTACTCAGTAGTCAGACACGCCTTACTGTATTTTCAGAAGGTGTGACTGATGAAATTGAACTAATAGTGCAGTTTAGATATGTTCCATGATATGCACCCCTACAGCATAATTGGCATATGATGGAAGTAATAAATTAGCTATACCGGGGTTTGGAGTACAGTTCTGAGTGTAGGAGGTAAGTTATTCGGTAAGATAGTTGACTTACAGCATTTGGGGTACATGGGATGTGTTACGCATATCAAGCCACCGTTTTCTGTGGTACGCAAAACTGGACTTACTTGGACATGACGATAGTGATCAAATCATGGCATGGTATCATTCCGAAATGCGAATGACTGCTAGTGGGATTTATTTAAGGATTTGTAGCTACATGTCTATGTCACTCAAAATATCAGGGACAAGTAGCTGCGAATATTATGTAATCGCTCAAAATCAATCTCAACAGTGTTGATTTATTCACTCTTTCTCAAAATACTTTTTCGGATATGTGTAATGTGTGGTAAGTCATTCGTAAGTTGCTTCAATGAACAAGGATTCTGGGATCAAGAGGTCCTCCACCTAGTCATAATAGATTTTAAAACAATTATCCTATCCCACTCTACAGTGTGATTATGAGTCAGTGGATTTACAGCAGTAGCCAAGTATTTTTTTATAAACTGTTTTTAGTTACTTTGACAGAGTATCCAGGTAGTGAGAATCAGTGAGTTGTGTTATCATGTACAGGCTTCATTATTTATTGGTTTGATAGGTGTCGTACAGGTAAATGACAATAGTTTAGATGACTTAGTTTAAACTGTTTGACAAATTATGCGTTCTAGCTGATATTTTAGGTGATTCTCGGTATGTAATGTTAATTTGATGTCGACAAAATTACTAGTGAAAATGTCAACTGTTGCTGATTGCTCATGAAAAGAAAGAAATAAAAATCATATTCCTGAACAGCAGCTTTAAAAGTGTGGAAATACTATGCAGTATACAGGCTATGAAGATACTAGTGTGAAAGGTGTAAAGATATATATGTAAATACACAAATTTTACGATATTACTCCTTCTGCAGAAAAACGGATCTCATTGAAAAATCAAACAGAATATAAATTTAGGAAGCACTTATCAAAAATGTTAACATCATTTTGAGCCATAGTACTCCGATGCTTTCGATATTTAATTTATGGTTTTTAGAGACAAATTTCACTACTTTGAAAAAGAAAAGAATTATTGCTTCATAGGAATTTAAATGTTTATTAGTTGAAATGTACGCATAATTGTAACTTTAGTTTTTCTCCTTTTATTTGTTAATCAGCTATGGTTTTCGATGTATTATTGGACCGAGTCTGCTCAATTAATGAAGCTAACGAAGCGGTAAATGAGTGTCTACCTTTGGCTACCTATCACGATATGATAAATGAAGATATTGTGAGTAAGACTGGTACAACTACTATTGACAACAATACTTTTACTACAAACTCCGTTCTTGTTTACAAGTAATAGCTTTCATTTCTGCTGATTTTCTGTTTTTGCGCTTTTCATAGTGCAGCGATTTGACAGATACCTTTTTGTACCAAAACTATTTTACTAAGTGCATCAGTCTAGTAGAAAGTGTACTTCTGATAGGTTGAAAAGATGATGTAAACCTTGGTTACTTAAACGGTAGTGAAATCTAGGATGCTGGTAACATCTTATTCATAACTCGTAAGCTTCATCTACAACCAACTTATAGTTACAGGCTTTCGTACCAATATGTCAACAGAATGTCAACAACAGGAAAAAATGAAACATTCTTGTAATATCATTCATCTCAAATCTTCAGGTACTCTATCGAATAATAAACAGTTGCTTACCCCAGATTAGATGTCAATTTGGCGAAAACCACATCATATCACAGTTGAAAAATCATATGGTTCAATAAAATCTTATGGTGTATTTGTAACAGCTTTTCATATGGTGCTCGTCTAGTATATATATAGTGCATTAACAGTCTTTATGTTATCACAACAATGAAATATAACTCTATTAGTTAACCCCTAAAAAGTTCTCACTATAGGGCGTAATCAATCAGTAAAACATTGAAAACCAGAGATAACTGCACTTATTTAACTTCTATTTTTAAACGCTCCTTAAATGTATAGCCCTAACCACCCAAGATGTGAAACTCAAACTTCTGGATCTTGTGGTCATTGTCAGTTCAAATACTGAGCTTCATCAACATCGCGACTAGACATTCGTCTTCAATATGCCTTATTTTGTTCACTTCATAGGCAATGCTTTCCACATATGGAGTGATATCATGTGATTCTAAAGCCATCTTGAAAACAATGGAAACAAGACATCGTGACTTCAAGAAAATCTGCCTTTCCAACTGAAGTAGTAAAGAGATCTAATTATCTGCTTCAGTCGTTGCTCGGCTATCTTTTTAAAGTCACTCATATTCACTTCAAGAGTGACTCAGATTTTCGAAATTTCGACCGGAAATGTAGATTTTTATAATATACTGAAAAGTAATCGTTATCTCAGTAGTTGTTAGGCTGCCCTTTAAAGTCACTCCATGTGAAACATGAATGAGTTGGAGTGGAATTATTCTGAAGACCACATTCGCAATACCTAAAATAACCAATCATATTTCGCTATTCTGTGAAAATCTGTCTTTCAAGCCAAAAGCGGAAACCTAATTGGTTTATTTCGACAGTTGCTAGAGTGGCCTTTAAAGTCGTCCATTGATATGCATCCGAAAGGTTTGTTGGTTATTTGCTAGGTGAAGAGTTTTTCCTGATGAACTTGCAATAAACTGACTAAATGAACAGTATTTCATGTAGGCTTTATTATTCATCCATCATTTGATTTGGTCACACTTACTGAATATTTTGAAGGATACTTTCAGTGATAGTAAATTATTAGGATTGCTGGTAAGAGTTAATCATGTATTTTCAGAGAACTTAGTTACCAAAAGCAGATATTTCAGTGACGATTTTCGATATTTATTTAGTTATTCTTCCGTCGGCGTTCTACAAGACAATCCTAGTCCATTGTTGAGAGTAATATGATAAAGGATAGAAGTGTCTGTTCTACTTTTGTTGTAGAATTAAAGAGTTCAGACGTAATTGAAACGACCAATCAGAAGCGAGTGAGTTTATGCTACTAGTTTGAGAGTTACGATAATGAATAGTCATTTCAGTCTATTAAGTTCACGAAATAGAACTGTGGATTAGAGTCAAAGAGTTAGTTAGTTTATACACTTCTAGTTCTGAGAAAAAGACCTATTGGCCGATTGTTTTTCGTTTTGAACACTAATAGGGATTTGTTTCTTCTTTTTAGGATCAAGGTATGATACTATGGTGTGAATTTTAATTCTAACCCATAGCCTAATGTGGCTGCACATTTTTGATTTCTTTGACAGACAATATGAACACATGAAGAAATATTTATAATTAGCAAGTAGTGTAACGTAATCATGTATATTGTAATTAGTTGCAATTTTAGCGAGACTCCTAAAATATTAGCGATAAATTTTTATTAACTTGAAATTAAGATTATCGCATTAAGGTCAGTAGAATTCTTCAGTTCCAACCCACTTGTTAACTTTATCAAGTTTTATAAATAAATATCGAGGATATAAAGTTGTATAGGCTAAATTATCCCGATTTTTTAGTTTTCTTCTACTTGTGCACCATTACTTAAATGTGAGAGGAATTGAAATGACCAACTACTGAAGGTGAATATGCATTCTAGTCTAACTCCAGGTGAATATTTCTAAATTTAAATAGTCTAACCACAATCTCTTTGTCTTTTTTCTGGTCAAAGTAGAGTTTCAGGTAAATGTTAGTTGGTTGGAGGCAATCGGCAGGAAGCCCTAGACCTAGGCTTCGTGCTTTTGGCACTCGTCAGCAAGGCGTATCCGAAACCCCAACGGAACTGATGTACCGCCCGAAACCTGAACTCGCGTCACCCAGTGTTGTAGTCAGCGACTTTACCACTGAGCTATTCAGGCCGCGATTGACCTCCTGTAGGATTGGCTTACATGTATTGATTGGTCACGGGAGTGCAACCAATTTCATGTTGTCTAGTCCAACCAACTAACATCTACTAATATGCACGGCGATGCTGAGCTTCCTAGCTTGGTTGCCACATTGCAAATGTGATAGATATGATCCGGTCTGTACTCAGGACTAGACAACATGAAATTGGTTGCACTCGCATGACCAATCAATACAAGTGTTACAGGTAACTTTGAAGCTTGGATTTGATCGTGATCACAAAATATCATTCACTCAGATATACTTAAGAAGGGAGTTTAATAAAAGTATTTTCCAATTGATTTATTCAATTTAACAGATGAGGTTTATGGGTTCAATGCTAAATACTTGTCTTTTGAACAGTTTTTTACAGAAGCATTAAACATGTTAAAATATCACATTGATAATGATCTTGCAGATATTGATCTAATGGAAACACATGAAAAGCCTGTATCGAAAAGGTAATTAACTTTTACAACTTATCTGAGCGCAAAGCTCTACTTTATTGAAGCTAATTTTACATTTTATGAAATAAATTATCAGTGATTTTTAAGATTTTTGGAAATATATTTCCATCTAAATTTTATGTATGCTTCAAAATCCTATGACAAGCAAGACTTTAGTGCTCTGGTTCTTTGCCTCAGGATTTAACGCTTATCTGCGACTTTTTCAAACCTTATTGTCTAGGGAATTAAGATGTTTAGGATACCTATGTCCTACCTTATAAATCTGTATCCACTATAATTTGGATAGTTATAAGCATATATTTCTGCAGCTATTGTCATAACTTGATAGAAGTATTGGTAAGCCTTGTGTATCAAATAAAACTGATGCTTCGGCAAGCTAACAGAAAGTTACCAAGTTCGCATTTTTAATATTTTCCCTATTATTACTGATCTATGGTCAGAGATTGTAAACTATTGTATATAGGGTTTACATATTAACTACTCCACCTACTACGATTGTGTGGCTCAGAGTTTAGCATTTGAACTGTGCAATCCATATCTTCATATTCCCCTTACTTATTAAAACTCTATTTACAAAGATCCTATCTATTTTAGTTAGATTGCGTTGAATTATGACATACATATCCTCCTCTTTTGAGATTTTAACATAATGAGGATCAAAATGATTATGTTCATATACTATTCACCACGTATACTTTGTTCGTATGATTTCATATCAAGATGAATTTTTTTTGATTTTGTCTAGATTTTTAGAAAATATTGAAGACACATTATATGGCCGATCAAAAGATACATAAGTTGACACACTATTTAATATGTAACTCTTTTTCAAATTTTCATCATTTTCCTGGTGTAATTATTAGCGACTTCGCAAAGCTGGAATACAGAATGCCTGATAATAACACTATGTAATATGACAATCTGTCCAAGTAAATCTTCATTTTAATTGTCTGCTAAGAACCTTTGACTTTATATCAATAAAGTTCTACTGTAAATTTAACGAGAATAGTCTTCATTTTGTATAAAAACAAATTAGTTAATACAGTAGTAGGCGCTGCTGATCAGGATAGATATAAGTAGTATATGTTAAGAGGGCGGCAGAAATCATAGGCAATTACCAGAAATCGATAAATATTCTACCCTGAGAAACTCAACAGACAATGTAGGCGTATTAAGAGCGAATCGAGAGATAAGCAGAAGAGGAAATGAAGCATATTATGCAAATGACTGTTTTAGAGGAAAGTGTACAATATTTCATCACGGTTGTACCGGAAGTCAATAATAAACACTCCTTTCAGCATTTCAGTCTTGTCGTTTCCTGCAATACCACTACTACTACTACTACTAATAATAATAATAATAATAATATGCTTTGTTTATGTCTTACCCATTCGGTTTTTGAATGTAATGTAACTGTATTCTAAGAACTTCCCTCTCAACTCCAGATAGATTTAGAGTCAGGATAGTTGGAAGAAGCCTTATTTGCCTATTACGGGGTATTATATTACTTTCAATAACGGTTCTAAGATACATCTGTAGCTTCAGGCTACGTGTATTAAACAGAAGACTAAACCTTAAAGTTGATATTCAGAAATAATATTACATCTTCATTGCACCATACTCTGCAGATTAAGAGAAATAGAAAAATTGGTGTTATTAATGCGTGCTACGTTGCAGCCATTAACATTCATGCGCGGTTATATTAATTACAAGCAATATTTACTGTCAGAATTCAGCTAGTTTGCTACATTTAACTCATTCACTTAACTATGAGGTCTAGAACGTTAAAATGGAAGATATATATATATATATATATATATATATATATATATATATATAATGTAGTGGACTGTCATCTGATAGGTTGGTTACTGAAAACTATGTAGTATTCTTAGTACTGATTCCAACATTCAAAATGTTATTAACGAAGAAGTATTTGTTTTCTGCAACTTTACTGTCAAGCTGTACGATAGTATTTATAATTAGTCGAATATCAGATAGCTGAACTGGAAATTTTCCCAATCAATGAACACAGGAATACAGTTTTTTGGGAAGAAGTGATCACTTGGACGAAATAAGAAAAAAGTCATTGAAAGAGAAAAGATTGGTTTCACGAGGTGGAATAAGAGTCACGTATTGTCAAAAAAGGTGTTAAATGATGATAATCAAATAAAATGTGCAAAGTGAAGTAGAATAAAATTATCAAGCAAATCAACATTCTAAAAGGCCACATAACCAATTAGGTTTCATTATTTTATATAAATCCACCTTTTCACCAGCAATATTGAAACCTGATTAGTCATTTCAGCGGTTGCTGAGTGACCTTCAGAGTTACTTCAAAAAAATATATTGTTAAACTGAAAGTAGAGAAAAAGGTTTCACAAAACGCTTTATAATGTGTAGTTAAGACTTTTGATTATGTATGACTAATGCTTCTGTTATGAGTAAGTAGCGGACACATGCCTTTGAATTAGTTCACTTTAGCTCTTTAGTTAACTTTAAAAGTTAAATCACAAGGAGATAACCTGACTCCATTATGTGTGGACATATAGATGAAGCAACTGTTTATCTGGCTCAAGAATTCTTGTATAACGTGAATAACAAGCTGTATCGATTGACTGCTTTGTAATTTACGGTTATCCGTAGGGGAAATAATAATATGAAAAATCGTTAACTGTTTAGATTATGTAGTGGAATTTATATGTAGCTCATTCTATGGTTTTTCTGATACTCTTTTTGAAATTCTAGTAGAAACGTTTTTACTGAGTTTATATTGTTATTTTGGACATCATCTTGAGCCGTTTACAGAGGCAACAGCAAAGTCCACTGAAGCAAATGGTATTTTACTAGCAATACCAAATGTCAAGCAATAAGAGATGAGAAATAACTTCCTGGTTGAAGAGTGAGACAAAAAATAACTAAAGATAACTTTTTCATTAGGTTTGATAGAAGATATACAAATAATCTGATTGTAAACGTTCAAGAGCGAATGCACAAGAACTCATCTCAAAGAGAGAGAAAAGGGAAGTAGGAATCAAGCCACTATGCTAACAAAACTTCAAATCTGATATCAGAAAAGTAATTCCTTACATCACTGGGTCATATACAATATTAATACCTTATCACTGTATGTTATATCACAACAAACTGACCTAATCTGAAACTACATTTTACCACAGTATATAAGTTCGCTGTTCATACTGATGGAAGTGACTCATGTCAAAATAATAGAAATTAGACTCCACCCTAGTGAAAACGATGATAACTAATTGAGCGACGAAAACTGCATTACATTCAGGGATGGAAAATGAATAAGCACAAATACAGTATGAGAAATTCAAACAAGTCAGTTTCCTAGTGGTAGACCAATCAATAAAATAGACATAATGCAATCAATCTCGCTGTTGTTCAACTAACTAGTAATAATCTTTAAGTATACTTATAGAGGGTACACCAACTTCCTTGTAAAGCCATTAACGAAATTATGCTCAGACTGACTCTTGAAGAGTTGTACATGAAAAATTTAAACTAGTAGCGCTACAAAATTGTTAGAAAATAAAGTGAAATAATATACGAAAATTACCTTAGACAATATAGATAGATAAATGTGCATAAAAGGAGTAATTCGTTTTCAAAATGTTTTAATAACTTTGCTTGTGCAATATTTATTCTTGAAATATTTTCGCAGTCAATATATTATCCTATGATCTCCACGTCGTATCGACTGTAAGGCTGTTATTAGTCCTATTCTTCTGGAACCATCTGTTGCCCTAATCAAAAGATTTAAATTAACATATATACATTATATGAAAATTATGGAGTACTTGACAGCTGTTCTATCTTAGTTTTGTACTTCTAAATGGTTCTTAGGCGTGATACTTCACGAGATCAGTTTCAGAAACTCCATGTCTCGTGAAGGCCACATGACCCTCTGGCCACTTGATTTGAGTTCAATGATTCACGATATGGAGAAAATCTCTTCTGAAGTCATTGACAGTTTCTTATCCTATGTCTTATTTGTTGCGTTCACCTTTTAACCTAGAATTATTTTAAAACAGTGTCTAATCTCGTATATCCCCTTGGCATAAGATTCCGTAATATCAAATGAAAAACACATGAATTTTAACAAAGCGAAAGAAACATAGTGTTTTGTTACCTTCCCTTCAACTGTGTACAAGCTAACATGAGGTGATTATGACATCAATTTCCTCAAGGCTGTGGATATGCCTTGCTGATGAGTACCAACAAACACAAAACTGAGGTCCAAGGATTTTTACCGATTTACTCCAACTAGCCAACATATATCAGAGATTTAATTTCATAATATTCTGAATAAAAACATCAGTTAAGCAGCTAATTTCTGTTTCTGTGAAACCTGACTAAAGTCGATTCTCAAGACTGTCTCTTCAGTCGTGTTTCCCAAAGCAGCTTAGAATACATTCCTTGTGTTCTCCTGATTAAAATACTTTGAAATTTACTATAAACTAGTTTTTTCCGATGCCAAACAGCTGCTTACCTAATTTAAGGTTAATCATTCAAGATTATTTTCTAAATAGTTTGAGTTCATGACATTTGTCACAAAGTGGTAACCGAAATGACTGTCACTTCCTAAGTGCTCAGTACTGACCGGAGTTTAGGGATACAGTTTTGCAACGTGATCATAAATCCAGTCTACATGACAACATGGTGTACTGCTTCTGGAGTCAGTTGTTAGTAGTCGGGTTGGTAAGAAGTCTTCGATTACAGAATCCTGCCCAAACACTAAGTAGCGTAGGTCCAAAGGGTGTTGATATGACTTGCAGATAGGCACCAACAAGCATGCTAAAGTTCTGACCCAACTGGTTCTTAACCTCTGACTCTAAATTATGAGTTCATTATTCTTATTTCTCTAAACATTCGTGACGTTCAAATAATTTGGAAGTGTGAATATACGTTTCTCTAGAGGCCAGTAAAGTTAAATAAATTTTCAGTAGATTGTACTGAAGTTCATATCATTGTAAATTGACGAATACTTACAACCGTTCCATTGTAACGACGTTTTACCAGCTCCTAATGGTCCATTCATTGGTTTAGCCGAAACAATATAAACGGTAGGTATTTTTTCACTACTGAATAGAAACACTTAACCAAAGACTCAAGAATGTACATATCCAGTAACATTTTATTACCTTCCTCCTTACTTTTTCCGCAACAAGCTGTCTAAATAAAAATATGTGTCTTCACCTAGCTCAACAGAAATGCTTCATGCATTTCAGCGAAAGCTGAAGGCAGCCATGGATTACTTTTAAGGCGGGATAGTGTACTCTAGAAATGAAAACTTAGGAGTTGTCACGCCAAGTTAAGATGGCACACTAAATCGATGGCCTTAGAGTCTCCAATGCAATCTAAACAGTTTCAAACAATTTCTAGCTACCACTCACACACTCTTTTGGATCTGTGAAACCGGCCTTATAATTCAGGCTTGTAGAATGAGTAAGTGAATTTCATGTGACTAAGTTGGGCTTGAAATTCAACTTCCCTCGATCATAGAAAGAGTAAACTAAACTGCATATTAACAGAAAAGTTTGATGATATGCTGTCAACACTGTTTACCCCTTATGTTATTTGCCTAAATAGAGTTATTACTTTAAGGAAGTAGTCTGGCAGGGTCATCTGTTTTACCTGGCTGATGGAAACCATAACAATACTCTAATCTACTGTTTTTCATACAAATATATTTCTGTGTTAAAATATGAGGTGTACTAACTTATATGTTGGGAAAATTTATCATTTATACAACATATGGTGATAAACAGATAGAAATAAATGTTATCTATCGGAGAGTTCATACAAGGCCGATGATTCTTCTTTGCTATCACAGATATTGTTTGTTGCTTTAAAGTATATTTTCACTTTTATCTTTCTTGTTGATTGATTTAATTGATGCTTATTGTAAATGAATACCATAACCACGATAATATAAAAGTCAAGTATAGGCAAATTTTATTTCAGAATTTCTAATAAACCGCCGTCACACTATATATCTCCTTAGTGTCTTACAAGTTTTCAAGGAATATCCATTATAGTAGTAAAAATGCTAATCTATAAAATAGTATGTATCTATACTTCACTATTGCGCTATCTCGTTCTGATGTTCAATTTTCATCGATATATATTAATTACTGCACGCAGTCAACGAATTACTGACGAAGATGATGATAATATTACGCAACAAAAATTTTTAGTTCAAAGGCAACAAAATCTTGATATAGGTAAGTTCTGTGTAACGTTTTTATCCTGGTGCACTATCATTCTCTGAATTTTATTACTTTTCTCTAATGAAATTTTCAAGAAAATTTAAAGATGCAGAATAAATGGTTTTCCAAATACTTCAAGGCTAATTACATTAAGTGTAACTTCAGTTAAAGACGTTTCTAATTTCAAAACATTAGCAACGTATTTCATTATGCCCAACAAATTTTTTACAGTTGTCACCATTTTTCAAAGAGATTCATCTCCAAACCTTAAAACTCCACATATAGCACTCACTACCACTATGAAAACAAAATTTAAAACTCCAAGGTTTTTTGGGAAACATGCTATATTATCAATCACTGGTCTAGACTGAAGCAGCTTCACATTTATGTTCATCCATATTTTGATTCAGGTTCAGTGATCATTGTCATCAATGACGAATAATTTAGGCTCATTACGTGGAGGAATTCATCTTGGGAAGTTCTAAAAATACATTTATATCACGTCAGAATTCCATCAAAAGTGAAACTTGAAAAAGTGTCAGAAATCGACTCTAATTTACAGAACTTAGCTTATGTTGCTAATTGTTGTTTAATGAGAATTTTCTAAGTCGCTGGAAATGTTAGACGACTGGGATTATCATTATTATTTGTCCCTTGGGTTCCTAATGGAACATAAGGCTTTAGTAGAGCGTCTTCAATGCACTCTGTTCTCTGCAGTCTTTTGTACCTGGCTCCACCACTGCTCACAAGCTCTCATTTCTTCCTCACACGATCCACTGCATGTCACCCTCGCTTCCGGCTCCCAACTTGTGATTTCCCATACGGGTTCCCCTCGACGGAGTGGCCGAATGTCTCCGAAAGTTTTTCTCAGTGCATGTCCAATCCAGTCCATCTCAACCTCCTTCTGCATATTTGTTGGAGGATAGGTTCTTGGTTGGTTCGTAGCACGGATAAAGTTCCTTCTTGCTTATTCTTATTATTCTGGTCACCTGATCTTCAGGATCGAGTGTAGGCAGCCGTTGATGAGTGTCTGTAGTTTGTTGGAAATGCTTTTCGTAACACACCAAGTCTCTCAACCATCACATAGAAGCACTGACTTGACTGATATTAGTGTTGAAAATCCGGATCTCTTTCACGCTTTATGTTGAGTGCAGTGCAGTGCAGTGCAGTGCAGTGCGGTAGATCTCCACATTGATTACTTCAGATTGATGAGGGCCAGTATTGCTGTCTTCCCCATCCTAGCTGGCCATGACATCCTCATCTGTGCCTGTGACGCTGCCTGCAGTTGAAACGATGGTGCGCTGCCTGGGAAGGTAGGTGGAAGAGACAACTTCCTTTAGATTTCTCCCGTTGATGGTCATTGGTACTTGTTGTTGTTGGTGGTGGTGGTGCATGTGTATCTTCCTCACGTCTGTCTTCTCTACATTCACTTGAAGTCCCGTCTTCTCTGCCTCACCTTTTCTATCAACCTGTTAGTTTTCACCTGTACATCTTCGAGTTCGTGCCACAAGACATTAGACATAAGTCATCATTCATGGCGAAATCCAAATCTTCTTCTGGGGTCTTCTCATTGGTCCAGCCAGTGTATACCCATCTCCTGGCTCCTCACAGTTGTCTTCTGCATGATCCAGTCGAACACAATCAGTCAGATCATCGGTGATAATGGGGGGGGGCAGCCTTGTCTTACTCCTGTCTCCACTTCACTTCACTTCACTTCAAAGGCATCACTGAGCTTCCCATTGTGAATCACTTGGCTGGCATGTGGCGTCTTCATATAGTTGTTCAATGAGGTTGATAAAGGTTGAAGCAGCTGCCTGGTAGATTACTTCTCGGTTGACACTGTCGAAGGAAGGCCTTTTCAAAGTCGATGAAGTTGAGGTGAGGTAGAAAGTTGACTGCCATTCTGTGCTCTGTTCTATGATGATGCGTAGCGTAGCGTTGCAATTTGATCCACACATGATTTGTATTTCCTGAAGTCAGCCAACCAGCTAGCCAGTTTCGGTCGTCATTTTGAATGCAGCGCATCCTTTAGTCTCTCTAGGATGATGCGACCTAATATTTTGCTTGGTGTGGACAGAAGCATGATTCCTCGCCAGTTCTTGCAAACACTTGAGTCTCCCTTCTTTGGACGTTTCACAAGGTAAGCTTTTTCCATTCTGCAGGTACCTTTCCTTCCTTCCTTGCTTACCTTCTGCAGTAGTGGTGTGAGCATGTCCGCTGCTGACGTCTCTGCGTCGTTTTTCAGTGCTTCTGGTAGAATTCCATCTGGTCCTGTTGCTTTTCCAGATTTCACCAACTTTATGGTGTTCAGGACTTCACTTCTGCTTTTGTCGAAGGGCTTGTGTTCATTGGCTGTTCTGTGACTGGGCTGCTGGTGGTATCTCTGGATGAGTTGCATGTGGTGGTCGATTCAAGTGTTTTTTGAAGTGGTCAGCTCATTGTTTCCTTTGTTTCTTCTCCTTGGTAACTAGGTTTGCTTCACTATCTTTCATTGGTTTCGTCTGTGTTGATCTCCTCCCTCCGGATAGTAACCTGGTTATTTGATATAGTGTTGTCACGCCTCTGTCTCTCTTACCAGTACCCTGTTCTGCTTCACTTAGCAATGTGTCGTAGAAGTGTCTTTTGTCTTTCTGTGCACTCTTCTTCACTTCTTTGTCCAGTGTAGTGTTTAATAGGTTGTAGTCAGTTCCTCTTTACGTTATTCATCTTTGCACTGCATTGCACTGGTTCACCTTCTGCTTCACCATCTTCCTCTCCTTCCTCTGTCAGCTTCCATGTATCCATTGAGATCCATTCTTTATCTTCTTTCTTCTTCCTTCCTAATACGGTTATGCAGGTTTATTTCCACATCTCTTTCAAAGAGTTCCAATGTTCTTCCACACAGGTTTCTTCACGGATGTTCCTCGATATCTCCCATTTTGTCTTGATGGCTGGCTGCCGTGATGATGTCCCTTGTAGCTTCGTCCTTCAGTTTCTGAATGTTCTACCTGAACTGTGGTCTATAACCAGCTTCCTTGAAGGCTTTTAATTTGATTTGGAAGGTTCATTGCACTGGATAGTGAGTGGTGTGAACCTACATCTGCCCCTCTTCTTGACCTTGTGTCCAGTAGGCTGCGTCTCCACTTTCTTCACATTGAGATAAAATAGATCTGATTTTTGGTGTGTCCTGGTGTCTGGTGAAATCCATGTCGCTTTGTGGATATCCTTGTGCTTGAACACACTGCCTCGCCTCTAATCACCAAATCGCTGAATTCTCAGAATTCTGCAAACAATTCTCCATTCTCGTTCATCACCTCACCGAGCACTTCTCGACCCATGGTTAGTTCTCTTCCTGTGCTGTCCGCTTCCAGTTTGGCATTCATGTCGCCCATTAGAATTTTGACATCGCCAACTGAGGTCTTGTCCAGTGTTGATTGCAGTTATCTGTAAAATTCTTCCTTCTTCTCTTGGTCTGCATTATTTGTAGGTGCGTAGCGTAACATTGTATGATTGTGACCTTCCTTCCTTCCTTTTGAGTTGAACCTTGCTGTCATGATCCAGCTGGAGGAGATTGGCTCCCACCGAGTGGGAGACAACCTTCGATGCTGTTCATGGGGACATCATAATAGCCACTCGAAAACTCAGTGTGCTCGTGGTTGTCGTGTGGATGACAATATTGGAGTTGATTAGTGACTCTCCAGCTGACAGTTTGGAGAGTTCACTTTCATTCCATCTGGTCTCGCAGATTCCTAGCACTTCTAGACCACACCTTCTCACCTCCTTTGCAATCTGGGCAGCCTTGCTGGGTTCATGCATGCATTCCATGTCCCCATCCCGACTTAATCTTTCATCAAGAGAAGAGAAGATACATTGGCCAATTGGCTTCCCGAAGCCTTTCACCAACCGGCGTCATTTCGCCTCTCCGATTACAGCGATGAATAATTTTGTTTTTACTTTTTATGTTTTGTTTGTGCTTTGAAGTTTGTTTATCGGTTGTATTGGTTTTCTGGGGTAGGGTTGCTAGCCGTATGCCCAACCTTCCCTCTTTACCCGGGCATAGGACCGGCTAGTAACTAGTGAACTAGTTAACCAGGCGAGGTTGTGTGTGATGAAGCTGAGATGAATTTAGGAATACAACAAGCTATTGATTTCAGCAAAGTTGGAATTTTTTTTCAGTTAGTAAGCATATTGAAATAAAAAAAGGCAAGTTGTAAACCATTACTACCGAATAGTAGATTTGTTACATTATAGACTAGGAAGTAATATTTTATGGAATATAACTGTTAAAATTTAAGAATAGGCTTCCTAATACCAGTTAAATCAGTTAACGACATTTTCTATACATCAAATGATTTACTGCACAAAATGAATGCTGTAATCACGAATATTATGTTCTTTTTTACGGAAACCTGTTTCAAATTGTAATCAGATAAGTAAAAATGTTTGTTAATAAAATTCTCACCTTTACGTTGCTTGTATAAGTAGTACTTGGTCAGCGGGTGAGACTGGAGATAAAAGAAGCACTATTCATTGTCTCAAAAATTTTTATTTTGAGAAATTTCTTATATAAATCACAATTTTATGCATTTGTAGTTGAGAAAAGTTAGTCACTCGGTCTGGTGTAAGACGTCTTTTATTAACTTGTCACGCATAAACTTTGTTGTATTCTAGGCAATAGTTGTAGTCATGAATGTTATGAGGTAAGTATAGTAAGCTAGATTACTATTGTAGTGGGTCTTGCTGATCAGAATAGATATAAGTAGTATATGTTAAGAGGGCGGCAGAAATCATAGGCAATTACCAGAAATCGATAAATATTCTGCCCTGAGAAACTCAAGAGGCAATGTAGGCGTATTAAGAGCAAATCGAGAGATAAGCAGAAGAGGAAATGAAGCATATTATGCAAATGACTGTTTTAGAGGAAAGTGTACAATATTTCATCACCATTGTACCGGAAGTCAATAATTATCACTCCTTTCTGCATTTCAGTCTTTTCGTTTCCTTCAATTCCACAATACGGGGTCAGCGTGAAGAGATTTTACTCTGTCTTACACCTTTGGCCTTCTGACTTCCTCCAGCTTTAAGCGGCTTGAGATTGTTCAGCTGCATTCAGAAATACCCATCCATTTCTTTACTTCCATTCAGGGACTTTTTAAAAGACTATTTATTGCACTGGAAACCATATCATAGTCCAACTAAATCTAGACAACATCGTAGTTGGAATTCAGATGTGTTTTGTAGATAACTGAAACACCCAAGAAATTATTATTGATTAAACTTTTTAAGAGGCCAATATAAGGAAGAAAAATAGATGCTTTCTTCAGGATCAGAGAAAAACGGGAGGACTGTGGTAGGGGGAATCCCATTAAAATTCACTTATCCGACAGTAAAACAGTATGACTTACTGAATAACCTTTAGGATGAGGAGATGCACTATAGCACAAGGTTCAAGTTCTACTCTTCCAATAATTGGACATATGGTATTCTAGTTTGTTTAGTAGTCAACAACCTTATACGACTTTCCCAAACATAAATTTCTTCACAACACGGTCAATAAATTGTGTCCAAAAAGTTAAACAGTAAATGATGTTGTGTGGTTGTTTGATACACTTGTTGAATTAGATAAAGTACCAAAAATTCATTTTTAAAGTATCTTTCAGGTATCTCTTTACTTGATTTTGAAAACATCGTCAAGGTTATTGTGATCGCTTAGTCTTTTATTCGTATATCCTACGTAAGCTTTGCATCGCATACTTGAAGAAAATAAGAATGAAATTCGGAAGAAAAGCAATGGTTATTGATGAAGAATAAAAGGCGGATACAAAGAGAATAATCATATCAATACACTGAATACGACATTTGGCAATAGTATTGGCAGTATGCATACTAATAATTAGCCTTGTGTAATATGGATATGCCAATATAAAAACAGGTGGATCCAGTAAAAGAAGCAATAATTGCTATACAAAGAGAAGTTCACGAAATAATTGTTACTTTGAATGCTTTTTTGTCCTTACATAACAGTAGAGAAAGATATGGATGACAAAGTTAGGTAATTATACTCAATTATTTATTATATTCAAGCATATATACATAAATATACGTATGCACGTTTCATAAAGTGATAGGAGTTTCCACGTGGCTATTATTAGGGTGGTTGAAATGCGTTTACGGTTGAAAACAAGGTGGGATGTAATAACAGTTGTTATTATTATTATTCTACGATTTGCAGTTTATCAGTGAATCATTCCTTTGAATGAGAGAAAGAACTATTACAGCCAACCACTTCAAACGTATAAATATATATATATATATGTATATAGTTCCGAATTCTCTCTTTTAGTTTGTAAAATATCAATTTCCTGATGTCTGTTGGATATAGTAGAAAATCTGTACTAAATATCAGTATCTACACACTTCTTCAGACATTGAATTTCTACATTTCCTTGTTTTGCTTTAATTCTACGACATGTGATCACCTTTCATTTCTAGGTAACTGTAGAAATCAGTCGGCTGACTATGTGAATCAAATATCCAAAATAGTATATGTCATTGGATTAAAGATGAATGCTTTTGCCGCATGGGTTATGTGGCTATTAGAGAAAATGATGAAGTTGTCTGTCGTACGCGTAAGTCCCACACATTTACTTTGATTCTTCCCACTGATGGAATATATTTATATGGTAGGCGATTAGGAAGGTATGTGTGGTCAAATTAACTTAGCGAAATATACTACTGAATAACTTCAGTAGCTAGAAACTACTCAGGTTGGTTTGCAAATTTCACTAGCCAGATCAGAATGATTTAACCACCTGATGGTAGTTTCGCTCGTTTGGGGCCAAGCTTATCAGCAGTGGACCCTGGCAAATTTAGCTCATAAATCCGACTTAATTAATGTTGCCTGCAGATCAGGCTGGGTACTTTCTAACTACTCAACTTGTTTGGTAGTTTAGTTCACTAGTTCGTGATACTTTTTGTGTCAGAGATGACACTTTGCGATCTTGGCAGGGTGATTTCCAACGGAAACCTGTTGATACAGGCAGCTAAAACTACTCACATGTGAGAAAAGTCAAAGTTGACAGTGCAATTTGTAAATGATTTGTTAATTGACCATCCAAATTAATTTTTGTTTTCAAGAGACTTGAACTTTTTCTAAATGAGACTGAATCAGATAAGGACAATAAGATATTGACAAGTAGATTGTATGGCGATTAATCACAAAAAAGGAACCTAAGAGTTCTTGGTTATGGATTGATGTCAACTAGAAAACCAGTGGGTGTAAGTTGCGCTGTGTCGTGAAAAGACAGAGGCTGAAAAACTTGAACTCGGTAGCAGAAGTGTAACGTGATATCCATGAACTATGATAAGACTGGGTTTGGTTGCGCTTCAGTTCACAAGTACTCAATGTTGAACTGTCCAACGCTAGTACGAAATATCTGGTCATTGATTGGTCTCTTTTATTTGGTGGTCCTCTCCATGATTTCTATGTACATTGAAAATTTCTTTGAATTCAAAGATTTTCCCACACATCTGCCAACTGAGTTACAAAATCTGGGTAGAAGCCTACAACAATTGAGATGACAGTTGAAAAGCCACTCACATGGCAGAAGTGTCAACGTAGACTGTCCAGTTTGTGCCTAGTTAGCTGATTTTTCATCCTAAAAAAGACTACCACTTCATCCACGTCAGCTGAGTATTTTCAGCTGACGTGAAAAATTTGGCTGTCTATGATGAATTTCTCCAGAAGCACTATTGATAGGTTTGAACTCAAATGAGCGCAACAATCACTCGAAGTTCAGGTCATTATAATCTGGCTAACAAAATTTGCAGAAAAATGTGAGTGTTTTTTACAACACAGTTGTTCAGTGGTAAACTGGACTTTGATTGCTGTTATATTTTAGCTAGTAAATCGCTTGATTGGTACCCTGGGGAAGTGTAGTGGGAATCCTACCACAACTCAGACTTTTATCCTTTTTTCGACACCAACACCGTCTATATATACACACCATTCTGCCAAATAGATAGTCTAGCTAACATTATGTTTGTTCGTCTCCCGGATTTCATTACATGAGTATGATGCAATGCATACCTAGGAATTGTTAGTGACTTTACTCGCAATGATGTCTTTTTTATTTTGGTAATATTTTGAGCAAAACTACTATTCATGGCCAAACTAATAGTTGGAATTTATTATTTTCTATTAAATTTACTCCGGTATTCCACTTTTAGTGATTACTAAAAATGACACTTAATCCGGTTAAAATATTTCAATAAATGATGAGAAATAATAAAACGTATAGGAGTTTCGTGTAAGTGCACTTCTCAGATAACATGATTAATTCCAGTTCGAAGGCTGATAAAAGGTAGGTAAAACCTATTTTAAAGCAGACAAATTCCTTTGCAGCATATTGATCAGAATATAACCATGTATCCTACGTTTCCTTTATCAGAAATCATAGATTTCAACCTTCAGTTTGAGCTTACACTCAGGCCTTATCTGTTGTAATGCATTTTTTAACCTTGATTGTTTCCAAATCCATAATAAGGTCAAGTCACATACAGCTGTTTCCGATAACACCAAGTTGTCTTCAGATAACTGTATAGTTACTGAAATCGATTTAAACACCCGTAAAGTGGAGTCTGCAAGTCGTATGTGCATTAAGATATGTATAATGTCTACCAATACATTATGTATGTACCTTAGACAGAAATTTAGGTTCCATGGCCTTACGCAGTTAAATATTTTCTCTTACTGTGCAGCATTAGTACGGGGCACCTAAACACGGAGTTAACTAGTTTACAACATGCTATTAATCTACTCACTTTATTGATTTCAATAACAAATGAAGAAGCTCACACTAGATAACTTGGATATTAGTTAAAATGGAGGCTAACCAAATGTGTGTAGACTTCTTGTATATCATGAAGCATCATAAGTAAATGTCGTCTGCACCAAATCACTTAAGTTTAGGCATGAAGATCGGTAGACTTGGAAAAACGCACAAAAATGCAGTTTTTCTAGTTGCTACACTTCACAATAGTCTAGGAAGGAGAAATGAACAGCAATGTAATGATAATACAGCAACCGAAAGTGTATGAAGAGAGAATGAAGGAAATAAAAGAGAAACAATAACTGGTCAGAATTATGAATCTAATAAAGAATAAATTTATTTGTACTCCTATCATTGCATTTTTTAATCACATCACTGAGGTTCTCCGAAGTAAACGCTTTAACACTCAGTGTTGTTCTTCGCATAACAGCAAACTCCAGAAATCGTATTCCAACTTTTTAGCATTAAATGTATTTTTTCGAATATATATATATATATATATATATATATATATATATATATATATATATATATATATATCACCATTAGTCGACTTATGTTGTTTGACAGATTTCGTGTTGTTCTATTTGCTTTGTTTTCACTTAGTTTTAACTGATTTGTCTTGTCGTGTGGATTCAGATTGTGTACATGTGGATTTCAGCGTTTGCCACCCGGGAGCAGGAAAGTGTATATGCCCTGGGAATACAATTTATGTTACGCATCTACATGCCTGCAGTAAGTAGTTTCATAATCGTATGTTCTGTAACTGGATCTTAGAAACAAGGCAGTATTTTTTGCAAAAATGAAAATGAAAACTTGGTAGAAGTTATGTAATTTACTCAATGAGCCTTTCAGGAATCAAATATTTGGAAGAAAGCATTCATCGCTGAGTGAACACTTGTTTCATAGTTTATTTTAACGGTGGATGCAAGTAACATCATATCAGCTCAATCAAAGATATCCTGACTTCATAATATCTGTGCTCTTTCATAGATATCCATCCTCATTCACGATTCACTCGATTTCACAGACCGTCAATTAATAAGTGAACTTCTACAAATCAGCTTCCAAGCTAGTCAGTCGATTACCATTCTTTTCACTGTTTTGTAGGAAACTAGTAATTGAATAGGATATTTTTTCATCAAAGGTGAATGTTCGCGTATGAAACTGGGTTATGATAAAAATATATCATGAAATAATCGATGTTTTAAGTAAATTTTAGTTTCTACGGCTGAATAACTACATACACTTCTTAAACTCTGGAGATTCTTAACCCATTTTTGTATAATATTTAGAATAAGCACTTGTCTGAACTCATAAACCCGAGAATAAGAGCTATCCAATACTTCTCACTTTTTCACTGTTCACCAGCTAGTGTCAGTTGGTACAGAAAGCAGTTTTAAAAGGCATATTATGGTTCTACGTTATAACATGTGGATAAGCGTCGCAAATGATTATAGACCGTATAGTTTTCAAAAAATGAATGTAACAGGTAGATTAATACACTCCATTTTGATTTCTCTTTGTATTTAGGTCCTCTTCTGTATATGAATTATCCATACTACACATTTTAGCAATATATTTCTCGGATAAGCTATGTTTAGGCTCACTTCCTCACTTACTCAGCTAAACAGCGGGGTGACACTATTTTTAAACGTGATCTCAAGCAATCATGTATAGCAATGCAAACGTTTCATTATGCTTTCATGAACAAAATAACAGCTATGCTTAGAAGCATAGATTTCCTGTACTGTTTGTGGTCTTCTCTATTTACTAATGAGATATTGTATAATTATGATAAACAATTAATGATCGGTAATGAAGAAGGCTCGATTACTTTCCCAAAATAATTAATGAAGACTTTTGACGCAATAGCAACAACAACAGCTTTATTCCAAATAAGACTATTGGCACAGTATGGTTCAACATATTCGTTTCCTGTACAATATCTCTGAGTTAAATAATCATTACATCATAATAATTTTAATAATAACAGTAATGAAAGGCGCAGTATGAAACAGGCACTTGGTATTACAATAGCCTCTAATTTGATATGGTGAATGAATAAAATAATGAAAGTAATTTTGGCGGTGGTAGTTTTTTCAGCCAGTACCAAAATCTGAGATTTGACTCAGTTATCCAAGGAATAGTAATAAATTGTATTGCTTTGCATTTTCAAGCCCATCTTATCAGCGTATCGTTGACTATTTGTTTGTTGTGAGTTCAAAGAACTGCAGGTTGACACTGCTTCAAAAGCTTGCAAAAGTACTTGACGCGTTTAAAATACATATTTAAAAGATTAAAACAAACTAAAAGGGATGAATTTTACGAAGTAAATTCTGTTGAAAATTCTGGGTAGCCCAAAGTGTTAAGCAGGCAGCCAGTTAGGTGGAAATAATCAATTGACTAATTAGAACTGCAATCGAAAATCTTACGGTGTACTTTACTGTCAACTTGCTACCTAATGTTTGCCTTCCTCTCTTGCAGCGAGTTTTAAAGTGACACTTAAGAACTCTTTGTACCTAATAATATGATGAATGCTTGAATAAAACTAACTAGAAGGTTTATGTTTCATACTTAATAATGCTCCTCAGTGCGGACTCTTTTAGTCCATAAGGAAACTTTATGCTCTAAGATATAATTTAACAGTGTTTATCTTATGAGTACTAAGAAGGAAGTTTTACATTACTACTGAACCGAGATGAAAGTGAGTAGATGAAATATACTGAAGTGATTGTAAGCATCCAGGCCATAGTTGTTAGGAATGTCCTGAAAGAAGTTGAGCGCCAAGTCAGGTTAAATCATTATATAAGTAGATTTTATTATAATCCCAGTGTGGTTTCGATTCTTCTAAACAGGCTGGGATTATATTGCATGCTCAGTTTTAATACGAAAACTATGGTGAAATAGTCAGAGATTAGGAAGATTACAGTGAATAAATGCGGGTCTGAAAAACAATATCAGGAAAGACAACTGGAATGAGGAGTGGAACACTTCCAGGAGAGATTCGACTTATCACTAGTTAATCTTCGGTTGCGTAATTCAAGAAATTCAACTTTTACAGGATTTCAGTAAACCTTAAGAAACCTGAAAATAAAAAGACACAGCTTCTTGTGATAAGCTACGACTTCGGCTGCTTAAGAACATTCAGTTATACTACCTTCAGACTGGTCTCACTGATTGATTGTCTCAGTATTCGCGAAAGGAGGAAAATCATCAAATGATAACGAAGGAGGAATCAGCCTTACGGACACAGTTTCTAATATTCTAGTTTCCATAAATGTTGGATACATATGGTTCTTATGGCTACCGAAACCGATGGTTTGAGACTCACGGTGGTATGTCTCAGGACCTATCAGAATGGTGAAAATGCATCCACACCTTATCTTAACTTTAATCGTAACACCATACTTTGTTATTCGGGTTAGTTACGAAGTAATGTCAAATCTCATGACGAAATCACATGACTGCCTGACTTGCTGAGAAAACAAGGACGCTTTCAGTTCAGCTTTTCACCGGAAATGAATAATATGAAGAAGACTTTCCTCATCAATGAATTCCATCTGGAGGTATATTAAAAACAAGTAGCATTAAGCGAAGTATTCTGTTGATACTTACCTAAAACAGTCATTCCTTTAAGCTGGAATTACCAACCATAGTCTAAGTAACCTAGCCTGAGTCACAAACCAATCGTCTTCGGACAATAATTTCATTGGAAGTTAAACCGTATGATCTTTTTATTTGTAAAGTATTTTCGATGTGTAGAGGACTATCAGCAAATCACAGTTTGTATAATCCGCCACAGTAAGTGCCCTTTCATTTTACAATCAGCATCATTGTCTCTTACGAAGTCATAGCATACAGTGAATCCACTAACATTATGAAACGATGCTCAGTACACTTAAATGATACCCATGTGTATCTATCAGTTCACCTGCTCCAGTGGAGCAAGGTATATCGGCCGTAGTCAGAGACTGCTGTCAACATGTTTACGAGAACATATTCCGGCCTGGTTTTATAAGGGTCATAGGAAATGAACCAAAAGTTCTTTCCTTAAGCATTTAATCGATCTAACCATTCAGCCGATCCAAACGAGAATTTCAAGGTTGTCTATCGAATTCGCCCTAACACCTCACGTTTCCACCGTGTTCAGCTTCTAAAAATAGCAGAGGTCTTGGCTATCCATGAACTGAAGCCCGACCTTTGTGTGCAGAAAATTACGTACAGTCTTTGTCTCTAACTTGGCCTTGATTTATTTTAGCCTTGGTGCATTCCGTCCCCATTTTTCGTTTTTCACCCCTTCCCCTTTTTTTGTCAGATTAATCTTTGTACTCTTATATCGTCATTATCACTCTATTTTTTTGTATTTATTTGATTCCGGTGATGTTTCATTTGATCTTCCTAATAATCGCAACTTTTAACAAAACATTTTCAATTTACTCCAATTAACTTGTCTCATTTATATTACCTAATCCTTTAATTGTTTGTCAACGTTCTCACCCATTATTAACCTATATGCACTTTATAAACGATTTGAAAATCTTACGTAACCCCTTTTTGTTATCATTCGACCTTTACATCATCAACTAGCAACACTATAATTATCACCACGATTATTATTGTTTCGACCACTATTATTTCAGTTAAATCTTCCTCACGGATTACAGTCTTTAAATATATATATCAGAAATATCAGAAATATTTTTGATGCTGATGTAAAATGCTATATACTGTCTGGTATGATCGACGAGTGAATGAGTGAATTATTGTAAATACTTGTTTTCCCCACAAATATCATATTTAACTCCCCAATAATAATAATAATCGCTTTATTCCAAACGACATGTGTGATATATCATTGCATTTTCAGCAGGTAATATTTCAACAGATACGCTCCCTGTACAGTGTTTTTTAAAGAAATAATCATTACATATGAATAATGTTAATAGTAAACACAGTACTAAAGGCATTAATGGGAAACAGGCAGCCGGTGTTACATTAGCGTCTAATTTAGACTCAGGAATGACTACAAAAGTGAGTGTAATTTTGCTAGTGGTAATTTAACCAGCCAGTACAGAAATCTGGAATTCACTACAGGTCTCCTAGATAGGGTAACGTTCTGTATTCTTGAGAATTTACACGTCCATTTCCATCCAGCGTAACCTTTTTTCTTTTTTAGTTGGACTGAAAAATGACAGTTTGAAAATATCTTAAAAAGAAGCGAGATTATATGAGACACTTAGAGCATTAAAACAAACTGAAAGGGAAGAATTTTAATAAATCTTTCTGTGAAAAGTTTTTGGTCGCCCAAGGTTTAAGTAGGCCTCCAAAAAAAAGAATAAAAGGACATCAGGTGCCGAGTGATGAAATCTAAAGTATGGATTTTCTGTGTTCATGTATGCATGTACAAAACCATCAGCATAAAACAGTCAACGAAAATGAATTTGTTGACAGGATAAATAATGGTTTAGCAATTGTTTACCTCCTGAGAAAGTCCCATACTAGTACAGGTGTAGAATTTGGGCACTGCGGTAGATTGTAATTCCATTTTAGTCTATTTGTCAGATGTTTCACATGGTGGAACGGTATTATTCATTAGATAACGTTATCATCCATATTCAAATCATGTAACTCTACAACTTTGAAATGGGGTTTATGTAGTTCTAATTCTCTCTCTTTCTTTGTGATGAGGGTAGTAAAGGTTTTCAGATATATAGGACAAGTGCAGAATCGCTTCTATTGCATGTATTTGATGTTGATTCGATAAACGAAGATTCTGTTATCAATTTCTCCTCCCATCCAAATAAGTTTTTAATAGTCATCCTATCCTACCCTATTGTGTGTAGGTGCTTGCATAGCTATACCCAAGCTCTCTCTAAATTTCTTATATTTATTAAGACCTACTAATCTCGATTTATCTATTTTTGTGCTCCGTTATTCTAACTGACCCTGATCGACTACTTTGCTTGACCTATGTATCTGACCTCCCAATCATTGTAGAGTATTCGGTAAACTAAATTATTTTTGCCTAATTGGATCAATAGGATCTTTTAACCCCCAAAGCTTGTTTCTAAGCGTGTGTCTTACTCTTTGTTTTACCTTTTGGATAGCTAGTGGATTTCAGTTTTCCCCACTGTCTGATTGTACATCATACAAGAAACAAATAAGGATCACAGAGTTAGAACAAATTCATCACAGAATTACGAAAGTTGCAATATCTTCTCATGCAATGAATGTTTCACAGCTGAACAATATCTCAGAATTCATAGATCAACTGAAATACTGTTTCACATTTAATGACATAGATATTAGTTTGTTATATCAACTGTGTACTTCTTCCATCCAACCAAGAGCCTCCATCTAAATGAAAACCACTCCGTAACTGAGAAACGGCTAATATTTTTCATCAGCACTTCATATCTATGCCAGATTAACATTCAGTTATCAAAATTATTCTAAGTTAGCTAAACGTTTTACTTTGGTATTGAGCCTTCATATGTCACTCCGTGCGAAATAGTAATGGCCATAAAGTCCTTCGAAAGGTAAATACGAGTGACATTTATCCATGTAATTTCGTTGTAATGCAACCTATAAATATACTTGACATCTAGTAACTTTATGAATAATTGTTATAACAATAAAGTTTGCTAGTTTTTCATTTTGTTATTCAGGGAATAAATTATTTCACCAAAATCATGATGCTTGTAATATTTGTGGTCCAAATCATGTATGCCATGAAGTACTGGAAAGAGATTTAGGGCGTATGAATGATGTGAATGCCAATATTATAAAACTGGGAAACACTCTGAACACGTGAGTTGACCATATTAATACAAATGTAGAATAATTTACCATTAAGAAATTTTTTCGAAGTGTAAAGGCTTAAATTACCTTCAGGTATCAGTTTTTGTTTATAGGGTAAATTAATGGTCCCTGCTGCCCAAGACTTAGACATGGTAGTGAAGAGTTAGTCTACTCCTTTCCATCCACCACTGTTGTCCCCTATTGCATTTCATTCGTTCGTGACACATGTGTATTGCATACTAAAATGTATTATCTGTATTAAGTGATCTCTTTAAGAATCTATCTGCCTCACACATGGTTAGTTACGAACATATCATACTGTAATGATTACAAATGATTTACAAATTGTTTATCCATACATTTTGGTATATACTTAATCATATTTGTTTTTCACAAAAAACTGTTTGTGTAATTAAATTGTTAGTTCACCAGAATAACGCTGAGTTTCTCTCTGTTAACTGCTCTATCCATTCGATGTTCGTGAACAGTCATGCTGTGATCAATGAGCTTTCAAAGTATGCAATCATTCTTTTCATGATATCACACAGTCCTTTCCATCTATTTTAATGTGATATTAAAGTGAGAAGTGTGCCATTATCAATTCCCCTTGAAGTGACATCACTGTTAATTGTAATACTATACAAATTTTCCAGTAGAGACACCATGGTTTGAATGATGTAAAATCGTAAGATAAGTGCATCAACTACCTTCAACAAATGCTACATCACGCAAACACCATTACGGTATATCATGCCTTAACTCTAGGAAAGAATATGTTTCTTATTTTCCTAATAGGACTAGGTAACGACGTTTGAACTTGGTTCACGTGAATAAACCGATTCCTGTCAATTATTTACGACTGCATAAGCTTGTTAATGGTTTGATCAATTCACTTCTGAAAACAGTATTTTTATTTCCATAGTCATTGTACACTTTCTTAATACACAAATATACTTTGCAAAATGAATGCAAAACCAGGGCCATGGCACTTTACTAAATACTTGTTCTAGTTGTTCGAAAGATGTCAAGTCTCCCAAATTGTATGAAAAAGGTATCAGTTCGCAAAAAGTGTTAGGTAGATTTATGTTATGCATATCTAGAAAATTCACGTCACTGAGGACCAAATTCAAAATGTTTTCTTAAACTTCACTTTCAGTACAAACAAACTGGCATACATTGGGTGTTCTTGTGAATTGGAACGGTTTATTACCTCAAAGAAGGTCTCAATCAGTGCAAAAACGCAAACAATAACTAATTTATGTTCTCTTAGTTTACGTACGTTAATTTTTTTGTTTAGTTTATCTACTGCCGAGAAATTAAATCCGTTAAATCTTTTGTGCTACTTATTAATGATAAGTAGGGCGTTTAAAATAATTTCATTTTGGATTGACTGTAGGTTTGAAATATACTTAAAACAGCCTTCCTGTCGAAGGTGTTTGGGTAGCATTCCTGTAATATAAACAAATTCTGTCGAGAAAATTTCGGCAAATAAATGCCTTTCATGGGAAAATTCATTTGTGGACTCTTGAACAGTAAAAATAAGTATGAGTGTCTATTCAATTATTGCTTTGATTGGACTGCTTTTTAACCTTTCCACAAGGGGTAAACTGATCATTTATGGTATTTAGTTGAATGGTTCCAGGAGCGGAAACACTTTTGATCAAGTGGTTAGATCCTAAAGTTTTACACACATTGGGAAACACATGTGTCTCTAACTCATTTGTAAAAGAAGAAAAAGACCAGTCGGTAAAGAAATATTTCCTTCTACGACATTATAATTTGGCAGTAGAGTCATATTTATGATTCATGATAAAACTGTTCAACTTGCCTTGGTTTTATCGCATTCTCTGAGCTGGTCTGTTCAGTCGTGAAGCTTTCATAGTCCTTCTAGATGACATCATCAGCACTAACTTCAAGTATGTTCAACTTGATAACAATTTCGTCGAAATCAAAATCTTGTTCTTCTCATTCATGAACAAATCAGTATGCTTCGTTTTTAGTTAGAGCATAAAATATCGGTTATTGTGAATGATTCAGAAACAGTTTACGCATTCACAGAAGTAAAGGTGATTGCAGAATGCATATATGTCAAACGTGTGTTCATAAGTCCCCTCTTCTTTTTTCATCAGAAAATCTACATGCCTACATCCCAACTGTACTTTTTCCAAAATAATTTTCCATCATATCGCTTGGCGAGACCCTTATTTCATCCACCGTTGCTATTATTGATTCGATATAGCTATCGTTCAATGATTAATAAAGCCATAATTTTAGATGTCGTATTCTAACGTGTCGTTCAACAATATTCTAATTCTATGTAATCGTTCTTTCGATCTGTAGAACTCACTTTCTCTAGTACTAATCAACAACCATCTCTTAGAAAAAAACACATTTACGTAAAATGTCACAGTTTCAGATATGTAAAATTAGTTTCCCAAAGATGATGTCTCACAGTTAAATCTCAGGATTCGTTTTTCTTTCTAAAGCTTACATAAGATTTTCGCTAGTGAATGCAGCTACATATTTGTTACTGTCTGACGTATCACGGAATACACGTATTTAGCTAAATCATGCCAAGGCTAGTTTTGTGTTAAACTGCGGAAACACCGATTGGCACAACAAGAAAATTGTCAACAGATAAAAATACGGCATCCAATTACCCTTAGTGAAGAACAAACAAATGCAACATTGACGAGAATAAGTGTAACAGAATCTAACCACTTTATGGGAAAAAAATAAAATATTGTAGTAATACAGTGCACGAAACAACAAATAACCAAATATGGAAAGGAGACACGTTGTACTCTAGTTAGAGTTTCTGAAATATTTAAAATACTAGGAATTCGGTAGAAGTTTCAAAAACGTCCCAGAAAATAAATGCCTGAAGTGCCTTCTTATAATGCATCTCTTAATGCAACTGAGCATATATTAATTCATTATTATTTACTTAACGGGTTTTCGAATAGAATTCAGCGCCTGTATTCACAGTGACGCAGTCAGATGAACTTCATTGTCGTATAACTCCTTTCTGCGTGGCCTTATTATAATTATTGGTCCCTTGCGTTCTTAGTGGAATATAGGTCTACAGTAGCACGCCTCCATTGCACTCTCTTCCCTGCAGTCCTTTAAACCTGGCTCCACCACTGCCCACAAGCTCTCATTTCTTCCTCACACGATCTCCTCCATGTCACCCTCGGACATCTGACTCCTCGTTTCCCATTTCGATTCCACTCGACGGCTTGGCACATGATGTCCACAATCGGTCATCTCAGTGCATGCCAATCCATCTCCAGTTTCTTCTGTATGTGTGTTGAGCGATGGATTCTTCGCTGGTTCGTTGCACGGATAGAGTTCCTTCTTGCTTATTCTTATTATTCTGGTCACCTGATCTTCAGGATTGAGTGTAGGCAGCCGTTGATGAATGTCTGTAGTCTGGTGGAAATGTCTTTCGTAACGCACCAAGTCTCTCAACCATCACATAGAAGCACTGACTTGACTGATACTAGTGTTCAAAATCCGGATCTCTTTCACGCTTTATGTTGAGTGCAGTGCAGTGCAGTGCAGTGCAGTAGATCTCCACATTGATTACTTCAGATTGATGAAGGCCAGTATTGCTGTCTTCCCATCCTAGCTGGCTGTGACATCCTCATCTGTGCCTGTGCCACTGCTTTTGTCGAAGGGCTTGTGTTCATTGGCTGTTCTGTGACTGGGCTGCTGGTGGTATCTCTGGATGAGTTGCATGTGGTGGTCGATTCAAGTGTTTTTTGAAGTGGTCAGCTCATTGTTTCCTTTGTTTCTCCTCTTTGGCAACTAGGTTTGCTTCACTATCTTTCATTGGTTTCGTCTGTGTTGATCTCCTCCCTCCGGATAGTAACCTGGTTATTTGATGTAGTGTTGTCACGCCTCTGTCTCTCTTACCAGTACCCTGTTCTGCTTCACTTAGCAATGTGTCGTAGAAGTGTCTTTTGTCTTTCTGTGCACTCTTCTTCACTTCTTTGTCCAGTGTAGTGTTTAATAGGTTGTAGTCAGTTCCTCTTTACGTTATTCATCTTTGCACTGCATTGCACTGGTTCACCTTCTGCTTCACCATCTTCCTCTCCTTCCTCTGTCAGCTTCCATGTATCCATTGAGATCCATTCTTTATCTTCTTTCTTCTTCCTTCCTAACACGGTTATGCAGGTTTCTTTCCCCATAGTTTTCAAGGAGTTCCAGTGTTCTTCCACACAGGTTTCCTCGAGGATGTTGACTAATGTCTCCCATGTTTTCCTGATGGCTGGCTGACGTGAAGATGTCTTTTGTAGTTTCGTTCTTCAATTCACTTTCTGTTGCAGGTGTTGAACTTGAAGTGTGGTCTATCACCAGCTTCTTTGAAGACTTTCAACTTGATTTGCAGGGTGAGTTCCTTGCACTAGATAGTGGCTTGAGTGGTGTGAACCTATCTATATATGCTTCTCCTCTTGATCTGATTTTGAGATGAAGCCGATCTTGTTTTAGTGTGTCCTGGTGTCTAGTAAAAGCCATGTCGCGGCCTTGTGAATATCCTTGTGCTTGTAATTAGTTGCCTGCTGAATTCCTCCTTCTTCTCTTGATCTGCATTATTTGTAGGTGCGTAGCGTAACATTGTATGATTGTGACCTTCCTTCCTTCCTTTTGAGTTGAACCTTGCTGTCATGATCCAGCTGGAGGAGATTGGCTCCCACCGAGTGGGAGACAACCTTCGATGCTGTTCATGGGGACATCATAATAGCCACTCGAAAACTCAGTGTGCTCGTGGTTGTCGTGTGGATGACAATATTGGAGTTGATTAGTGACTCTCCAGCTGACAGTTTGGAGAGTTCACTTTCATTCCATCTGGTCTCGCAGATTCCTAGCACTTCTAGACCACACCTTCTCACCTCCTTTGCAATCTGGGCAGCCTTGCTGGGTTCATGCATGCATTCCATGTCCCCATCCCGACTTAATCTTTCATCAAGAGAAGAGAAGATACATTGGCCAATTGGCTTCCCGAAGCCTTTCACCAACCGGCGTCATTTCGCCTCTCCGATTACAGCGATGAATAATTTTGTTTTTACTTTTTATGTTTTGTTTGTGCTTTGAAGTTTGTTTATCGGTTGTATTGGTTTTCTGGGGTAGGGTTGCTAGCCGTATGCCCAACCTTCCCTCTTTACCCGGGCATAGGACCGGCTAGTAACTAGTGAACTAGTTAATCAGGAGAAATTCTCTGAATTCCCGGGTGCGATGCTGCTTCATCCTTACTTTATGTATTACTTTATGGCGCAATGAAAAAGACTCTATGGTCTATCTACCTCTCGACTTACTCTGTTCATTATATTATAAATTACTGTATCACACCGTATTGTACAACAGTGACAAACAATTTAGCTGGTGAACTAATCGTTCTGAGATTGAATCTGGAAAATGTCAAATAAATTGGACGTCGGATGGTATTTAGTTTAGCTCTCAAGTATTTGTTGTGGTCTGATGTGGATATGAAGCTAAGATGGATTTTGTTTAGTCTTGAATCCTGGACTAAGACTCACGGCCTTTCAATACTCATTGGTAGGGTATTAATGTAGCCTTAAAGAAATGCTTATCTATTCCAAGCCTGAGACGATTTGAGCTAAGAGGCTTACTATTAGACTAACCAAGTATGGTTGTTCAATAAAGGAATGAATGAAATCCAGGTTTAGAGCTACCAGGTGACTGAACCTGAACTGATACATTTACTAACTTCAATCTTCAGTAAACACAATAAAGTTTAAAGATTCATTTCCTTCTTTAGGTTGTCCTATTATGAATATGCTTCCGGATAATTTCCTATAAAGGAATTTAAGTTGAATAAATTGATAGTAGTCAAATGTTTACTTAAATTTTGAAAGTGAAGAGCTATAAAGGATTGTGTGTGGAGTGACACCTAGAAATCAGTTGTGAAAATGCTCTAATTGTGTGAACGAATAAAGTCAGCTTGATTGACTTATGGGTGTACAATCTACAGCAATGAAAATTCTATAGTATGCAAAATTTGAAAGATCCTTTTAAATTGTTCTTATTTTTTGTGTCAGTTATTTAACTTATGAAGCCAATAATTCCTTTATATATCTGTTGCGTTTCCCCTCGAGTAGCTGACATTGGTGAAGCTTGTGACCATTCAAGTCAAGTGTGTCGGTCACGCAATGGACAGTGCACTTTCAGTGATTCATACAGCAACTGGATTTGTACATGTCCTTTAAACACAATTCCAGTATATCAGATCTTCTTAAACTATTTCGAATGTTGTAAGTCCACATATTTTGGGGTCAATAAAAACTATTCACATTTAATATATTTTACAACATTGGGTAGTTATGTTTTTATGGGTCATACACTTGAGCACATACCTGGTAGATATGAAAATACTGACGGCTTGATCGATTATAGGATGTCACCGTTCCATTTGTGTGGATTATTGACGTAGCTGAAACAAATCTCAGAGATGAAATTTTTTAGAATACCAACTCTTTATGTTTTTTTTATCACAATCTTTGAAAAAGATAGATCAAGACGAGCATTGGAAAGTTGACTGATGGATTTTAATAAATTACCTGTTGTCTTTCAAGAAAGTTACTGAGATGAACAACTCAGCTGTCTTATCACGAGCTTGCTTTTCATCCATCCTTTGCTATTACATCTAACTCTTCGGAAATTACTGTCACTTTACTGTTAACATGCTACTTTCTTTGTAGTCTGACGCCTTTAATGAATACTTTATAGTCAGCTGTAGTCTTATAACCCATATACGTTACAGGACGAGTTGTGAGATGTCATGATCATTAAGTAAATGCAATCCTTTGTCTTGGTTCAGATTAAAGAACAGTACAGTCATTTAGAGGAACTATAAATTATTACATCAAATGATAGCCACATGTGAATGTCGCATTGTGATCCACACATAAATACCAGAACATTCATATTGTGTAATCCTCAGAAGTGTTACCTTATAATCTCGATCAAAATATATTATTGCACGAATAAAAGTCCTTTCAATGTTCACTTATAAGGGTTAGCAATCAAACAGTAATTCCTAATAGTGTTATCGGTAACAACTTGTCGTAAGGTTTCAAGCTTGAAGTCATTTTGAATCAAGTAACTCAATGACAAAACGTTCAAAACTTAGTTTTCTACAGCTATTGTTGTTCTTTAACAGTAACAACTTTTTCCTCTTATATGGTTAAATTAGACAGCTGTTAACGTAATTCGACACATAAATTGCGTGAGTGCGTGACGGTCTAATTACTCTGAGATGATAGTAATTAACGCAATACTATGGAGCGCATCACTTTTATTTCAAGCTGAGCAAAACTTAGAAATAGCTAACAGAATTCATCACACTTGAACCAAACTGTGTTCCGTGTAGAAATTCCGTGTTGTAGAAAACAAATTCTTTACAATATTAACTGTAATCCAACCGTATGCATCAGCATGCACCTAAACCTATGTACTTAATGTTTCACTGTATTCAGTGAACAAATTCAAAGTCATCACAATCTTCAGTTCTGTAATTTTATGGTGTCATAACAGCAGATAAACTTATATGGATTGATATCATAGATTTGAACTGAATACTACAAAATATGCAACCATGACCGAAACACTTGGTTTCGACTTTCTGCATGTGTCGCCAACTGAATGTCTCTGCATTTGCCATACTTCACCCATGCTTATCAGTCATCGACTGAACAGAAAGTGAGATGAAATATTTTCAACGCTTAAACTGTCAGTCCTTCTTTCCTTTTCTCCATGCAGTAAACAACAAAGACTAACGCTTCATTATCCTTGTGTTCATGCTATCTCTGTCATGAATACCTGAAAATGAGATGGATTTCTTTGAAGGAAGAAACAGAAGACATACAGCACCAGACGGCAACCCTGCGCACTTTATTCATCCAAAAGGACTCATATTTTCTTTTAAATACTCTTTTGTAGGAGTACGGGTCACTGGAATAGAAATGGCCTCAATTTTTGAAAACATAAGTACAATGTGTATTCCTCCTTGCCATTAGATGTACGCTAGAATGCGAGAAAGGAGCAGGCAAATGATTTACCAAGCAGATACAGGTGCAAAAGTAGTGAACAATATTTGTAGCTCAGGTGGATGGTCTTGGTTGTATTGTATTCTCTGAACTAGGTTGTTTAATCGTGAAGCTTTCATCGTCTTTCTAGACGACATCATCAGCAGTCAGGTCAGTCAGAAATCAATAGATGTATAGACATAGACCCAATCTATCAACCAACGAGAGGAATGACAAACGACCGAAAGGTCAGAGGTCAAGCAGAGAAACGGCCAGCAGATGTGCATTAGAAGTTGCAAGCACATGTGATTGTGTTGCTGAAATCAAACTCTTCAAAATTCGCTACACATGTTTTGTGACAACTGTCTTACGGCGAGACAGGTGGACAAGTCAATAATACGAAAAATAGAAAGGTGACTACGCAATATTGATCATTCACCATACATGAAATTACTGAAGATGCAGAAGTTGGGAGTAAAGAAGCACTGTAGTAAGAAGCAACCGCCATCACTAAGTTGACTACAGAATACGAGAATTTATTCACTAAAGATGGGAAAGCGTATGATTATTATGACAGGAGGTGAAGAAAAAAACCGTTTATTAATCATGGACGGACGACATTTTCAAGTAGGTGCATCCCTCTTCACTTGCAAGACGTGGAACGATAGGTTTCGGCGATGCTAAGGGACAGTTTAATTGCAGAAACTGACAGGCCATACAGTTTAGAGAAATGGAACAGGAAATAAAAGTCTTGCCTGAATTCTACAGAGATAAACAAAATGATAGATATGAAACCACACGTAATGCTGACAGTTAACGAAACATTAGATCACTTACAGGAAACCACGCTGTTCACGAACAATCACTGACAACAGGTGATCGAGAGAAGATAGGTTTCATTATGGGGCAAAAACAATACTATTTCAGACGAATGCCATTCAGCCTTCTAGGAGCACCTTTTATGTTTACACGATTGATGACGTCATTGCTTATGAATTTGAATGATATAGTGTACGGCAATAACTTCATGGTGTACGGTGAATCTAAGTGCTACCATACAGAAAGTCTAGAAGTTATTTTAAAATGCATCAAGAGAGTTTGAACCATGTATTGACAATGTTAAGCCACAGATTGCTAAGTGGAATACTGCGTCGTTGTACAGTAATTGGAGTATGAATAAATAAAGTAGCTGTATACAAGTAATTCGACCATTAAAAATATTACGACTAAGAACTTAAAAAGTAACTGAAACATAGTCAGAGCGGTTTTTGTAGTCAGTTCATCAATAAATTCAGTGAAATAGTAGTCCCACTGTATAAACTGTTGCGAGACCTACAATTAATTTAGACCCAGGAGGAACGGGAGATATTTAAGTGAATTAGAGATCTGTTAGATGAACAGTTGATGACCTCAAGATTGCCAGAACCCAAGAAGTCATTCAACATTTTCCCGAATACCAGTGTTAACAGAATAGGTGCCATCTTACGACAAACCAATGGAGCTATTTCGTCTGCTATTCGCCTGCAGAACAGAAATATTCAACATTCGGGAAAGAATGCTTGGCAGTCGTCTGGTCATTCGGAAAATGGAACTTATATTGTCTCGGACAGTGGTTTCAAACTGAGATGGACCACAAACCCGGTAAGTGGCTACAGACAGCCCATGATTCTCTTGGTTAGCTAGCATGATGAACCTTACGCGTATATGAATATGATTTTGTGCTTGTTCACATTTCGGGTAAGGAGAAGGTAGTAGGTGATTACTCGTCTACACAGAAGGAGAAAGTTAGTTTCTCAGAAAAATTTTATGGGGTCGACATTATGAGAAGTGGCGCAGTTAGAATAGTTGCCTATCAGAAGTTGTATCCAACTATCAAAATAGCAATTCATTTGATATTCATTTGAAGCTGAAAAACTGAAGCAGACAAGAAGTTGAAAACTCTCTACACACAAGAAGATGGACTATAGGAGAATTCCTAGGGCCCTTTGACTGGCAAGATGACGTTGGAAGATATACAGCGGTAATTTCGAAATGCTGACAACAGGACTAAATTTTGGACTGCTGCTAGCTGGCACATACATGAGTTACGAGGACGACTGACCTATTGAGGTAAAGTGCGTATTGGCCAGGAATGTAGGACGATGTTGAGAATTATGTACTTACGTGCTTACAGTGCCATCTGATGAAGAGTGATTGGTGCATGCAGTCACCACTGCAGTCGGTGACCACTGATCAATAGACACATTGGGACCATTTTCAAAGACATCCACTGAGAACCAGTACCTGTTAGTAATGATGAAGCACATAATGTGTTGTGTGGACCCGGTTGCAATTAAATGCGAATACACTAAGACAGCAATGCAGACCATTGTTTGACAGACTGTTAGAAACCATAGCGTATCGAAGACGGCAGTCATAGATCACAGCTTATGTTTCAAGAGTGATTTCAGATCTCGCTTATGAAAGCTGGATATCAAGCAAGGAAGAACAATCCCTTACCATCCACAAACTAATGGTTTGGCAGAATAAAATAGCTGTACCCTGAAAGAATGACTGTCTGCGAAGTGAGGCAACCAAGAAGCGGGAAGGATATTGGTCTTGTTAAAAATCGGGCATCCATGAACGGAACAACGAAGGATTCGTCTTTTTAGCTAATGTATGACATGAAACCTGGACTTCCGGTGCACAACAAAACCTGATTGTTATCAAAACAATGAAATTTTATGCGATAACAAACTACCCTGAATATCAAAGAAAAACAGAAAGAGGATTTGGTGAAAGTCGAAAAGAAACAAAAACGAGATGGAAACCTTTCTAAGTAGAATAGGTGAGGTGGATGACACAACAGTTCACTGCAGGAGGTGGAACAGGGTTAAGAAAACTTACCAAAATAGGAAGGCCTCTATATAGTCACAAGTAGATGTAATTCAGTAAATTTTCAGCGTTTACCTTTTCCACATGGAATTCATTTCTTATAGTGTTAACTAAAATATCTTAATTCTATGTTTATCAGTGATCTTATCATACAATTATTTTCAGTTCCTGTGTTACACAAACTCCAATCTACCGTTCAGATTAGCAATAAAATTGGTAATAATGAGTGTGAAGCATGTCAAAAAGTCAACGGAAAATGCTATGACCAGAATAATGATGGGATAGCAGATGGGTGTCAATGTCTACCAGATAGATCATTTGTGCTTAAAAGCGATAAACATGAAAATTCGCGAAATAAAGTCAAGTCAATGAGTTTATTTCGATACAAAAATGAACGTTTCTCTTGTGAAACTGAACATAGTAAGTGGTTAAGTATCAGTTGTGAGATTTTTTAACTTTCTGATATTGACTTCTCTTATAAACTTAAGATTTACTGCATGCAAACCATTTTTCTTTCACATATTTCTGGAATATTGCGATAATAGTTCATTGTCCCTTAAATAACTGCATGCAACTAAATAATTATGGCCATGTTTTTGCATTACTTAGTCACACCTCCCTGATGCATGAATGATAAAGAAATTATTTGTCTACGCTACCCTCTGTAATCGGTGAAGCGACGAAGATGCACTATAGTCTCTGCAGAATAGCTAGTGTAGGACTAGTCTCGTATCCCTGAGATTCCACTCAAAGTCTGTTTCCATTGAGCCATGTGTCTGTTTTGTAAGTTTGCTGACTTTAGGTAGCATTAGTTCTTCACCTTACTATACCTTATTGTGCTAGCCAATACGGTTTTGTAACATCGAAATTGTTGATTTTGTATATCAGCCACTACTACTTTTCAGACGAAAAGCATATATTTTCTCATAATTCTGCTGGTATGAGGTAGTTTCATAGTTGTTTTCATAACATACTGACATCATCTAAGGCCATATAGCAAATCTGAAAGGGTAAGTCTGCTAAGCCTTAGTCGTCCTCAGTCCTTAGTCCTTTGAAAGGAATATTTATGGCTCTGATGGGAATCAGACACAAGACATTTCGTTTTTTCTTACTAGCACGACATAATTTAGCTATTATTTAGAGCCTAACATTTCATGTATTTATACGTTTGTCAGTTTGTGGTAAAGCACCTGTGGACATCATTCCTTAATTATGAATTGAATAACCTTCTTATAAAAACTCTTGAAATTTCATGTCGAAAGTACTTAGTAATTAGAACTTATTTATTATTCGACTGCTTGGTTTGTAAGCCGTTTTCATCACAAATTGACATCAGTTAAAAAATCAATGAAAATATTTACCCACTGGATTTGGGGATCAGTTCCCACAATTTCATTTGCCCAACAGTAAAACAGTAAATTCACGGTAAATGATTATCAGGGAAAACGTGTCTACTTCTGTTTTGCAATAATTCCACTTATATTAAAGTAAAATAGTATTTTTTATTTTATTTTTCAGTTAAAACAGATTGCAGTGAAGAGAAACTTACAGTCTGTTACCTGCCCCACACTTCAGGAAGATTTAAAACACTAACTTATCACCTGCAAAGGAATTTGTCCTACGTCTCTCTCATACAGTCGACTCACACAGACAGATTTGATGGCATGGAGTCTTGCTTATTGAAATTATCATCATCATCAACAAGAGGAGAAATAACTACATTGAATAATAAAATATCTCTACCGTTCAAAACAGTTGGCTTTGTATTACAATACTAAATGACGAGTCAAGAATGAGCAGATGTCAGGTGAAAGCATACAGTAATCCAATTTGCAATAAAATTGTAAGTGTTTTTTTTAAAGATTATTACTATTTTTTGATATGCCTGGAATTCTCCGTTGTTTTACTGGATCGAATTGTTAGACCCCTATTGGCATATGGGCTCTTATGCGAATGCCTCGACATTGCCTGAATACTTATGATGATAATTTGTTCGATTATGACTGGCAGAGAAATCCAGGACGCATGTTTCTTCCTCTTTTGGACGCGTCAGCTGGATGCACATCCACCTCCGTGAATGATGTTGATCTCCTTAAGACTCTAACCTCGTACCCATCGCGCCACACCACTAGACCAGTAAGAGTTATCTATTAGCATTATTATATGAGGTTACAATACTGCTTACATTATCATCTTTGTTTGGCTGTCATTAGGAATATACAAAAGCTGCGGTTATATTCGACTCTATGTATGAAAAGATGAAATTTATGTTGAAAACTGAGTTCAGCAAGAACTTGATTTAAAGCTTATCACTACCACTTCTGATCAAGTTCATTTTAAAAACTTAGCATTTAATTAAACAACTGAGTGATTCAGGAGAGTAATTAGTTCCTTCAAATAAACTGTAATCTGTTATCATAGAAGTACCTAAAGTTATCGTTATGATGTATGTAAACCCAACTGAGATAGAACTGCAAGTAAATTAAATGACATGGGAATAGTACTTTATGTATAAGTGAACAAAGTGAGGTACGGGTTTTATGCAGTGAATACTGAAACATCCTATAGTAATTGCTCACATGATTTGAATGAATAAGTTTGCAAACTGTAAGTAGCGGGATCTATGGTGATATTTAAAAAAAAATATGAGTAGTTGCCCAACAACTCAGTAGCAATGTCAACAGAGCTTCATTTGATAATCACCCAATCACTCTAACATATTGAGGATTATTACACAAATTGTCATGAACTAATTAAATGTGTTACTTAGCATGGGTTTTTAGAAACTACCCGCACTGTTATGCCTGCTTCGATATCTATAAACTGTAATCATCTGAACATTGAGTGACTATCTCACCTGCTATGCCGGGTCATCTAAGCAAGCTTATTAAATTTAGGTAATCTGATCAACTGGACTCCTCTGTGAATCGAATTTTTTGGGGTGCATTACTGGTGAATCCAGTATCTATCAATGGAAACCGAGCTCACTAGTGAAGTCATTAGGCCAGCATAAGTATTTCTTAGAGAACTACATTGTTCAAAGAATTGTTCAATGTTTTTGTGTATTAGATAGTATCATAAAAGTTTAATTAAAAGTCCATCTGGGATCATTGTCACTCATTCTAATTTGTGGTATTTTAGTTAACAAAGATCACATGTTTACACTATCAAGGACTTTTTGGCATTGGGTTAAATTAAGATTAGGGACGGCATAATAACAAAAGCATTATCCTCTACTAACCTTCATGTTATTTTCAAAATTTATAATATTACTAGCCAACAGTTTATTCAGTGTGGACATGTTTCCTTTCCCCATAAAGTTAGCACAACTGACACCATTCAAGTACTGCAGTATCCACCATCAAATATCAACTGTAGAAGTACTCAAAGTAGTAACAATCCTTATTCTTAGCTGTTAAATTTAGTTCATTAAAGAAATGTGAATTTATTAATTAGTCACTGTGTATGATGAATACCATATAATAATTACATTTCAAATGAAGTAGACTAAAAAGAAGATATGATGAACTCTGTATTCACTACTTTATGATCTCTGCACTTCTAGATTTAGACGCAAGAATCAATAGGAAACAAGATAAAACTGGTTTCCAACGTGTTGAAGTTAACCTTAGAAACTACACTAGTTATCAAGTAGAACAAGTTAGTTTATACTAGTTTATTAAGGATTGAGTGATTTTTTGTTGACAAGCATCAAACGGAAAATAATTTCTGCATCTGCATCCATTTGAAAAAGTAAACTACTTAAGCATAGACGCACAATATATCAAGTAACAGTAAACGTATTACGCTGGACAACATATTTACGAAGTGACATGAACATGTAGTTGAATTTGACCTAATTCAATCACTGAAAATGTATTTTGAAAATAACTGGCCATACACGTATAAAACACCGTTTACTCTTGTTTATACTTAAATTTAAATGTCCGAAGTAGTAGTAATCTGGTAGTGACTGTAGGCTGTTTTTATTATATGCTCTAGTATATTTATCTTAACCGTGAGAATAAACTAAATTAGAATGACTGCTAATTTTCCGTCGACCATCAAGCGAATTTCTAAATGTACCTCATACCTCTTTTTCTGTATACTGAGATTCAAGCAAATTTTAGAAATACTAAGGAAGTTATTCAACAAAGAGTAGATAGAAAGAGGTCTCTGACTAGTTGATACCAATGGGTTGATGATCTGGAAGTGTTTCAGATGTATAATCTGAGCTGTTTTCAAGGTTTAGCTGCTTTTTGATGAGACCAAAGCACCAGTAGTAATTTTGACCAAAAGAGGTAAATAGGCGATGAAATTAGGAAGTTGCATTCTATGAGATATTCGAAGCAACTTATATGCCTGCTTGGGCTACACACATACACGCACTAGTGTCAGACATCGACTAGAGTAGGGTAGCATTGAGGGAAAATGTTGGGCAGTTTGTCAACAAAATGGCATCATAATGCATGCAAATTGATTGGTAGCGTTATGCTCATAACAAAGTTAACAATAAAGTGAGAAACACTGGTTCCACATCCTTTCTGATGTGGTTTAAAATTATTATTGGTAGAAAAGACATGTGATACTGAGTAATGATTTTCCCTTATCACTAGATATCTCCTAGTTTTTTTTATTCACTTTGTTAGTTTTCTGTCAACTTGCTTTCAGTTGAGTCACCTTGCCCAGACGTCACAAAATCAAGTAGTGTATTATCAGTTTATTGACTGACGAGTAGTGTAAGATTTCGCAAAGAGAGTAGATGGGGAAACATGAACAAGTTGGTTACTAGTGAGAGGTAAGTGCCACAGGAACTGGCAAATTAATTTCATTCATAAGGTACCTATCTGTTAAGTAACTGAATAAATTAACTCCGTGAGTAATTTTTGCTATTTTTACTTTCTGCTCAAACTACACATATTCAATATGTCATTCAACTAAGCCCTTTACATTATACCATTTTTACAGCAAACACCATCCAGAAGTAAGAACTAACTCAAAGAAATATTCTAGCAATGATATATTTCAGCTGAAGCCAACATCGGTCAAGTAACTTCTGAAAGAAACGAAGTGGTAATAAGCTGTTTATCCTGGGTGCAACAGTCCTTAGTACACATATGTGACACGCTCCTTAACAACCTGAAAGCTTTCAGGTCTTATTACATTTCGGCATACATCCTCAGTCAATACCCTTATCATTTTCACTTCTCTTGACTTTAATTCGCAACTAGATTTTTTTAATTTTCAGCTTAGTTGTGGCATTAGGGTTTCAATGAACAAAATGCTCCTAATTGACTCAATTAAGAGCAGTAGATTTTTACTGAAAGTATCGAATAAGATGTTCAACATTTTTCGATAGGAAAAATGTCCAAAAATGAAGAAATTAGATCCTATTTGAAATGCATTCACTTTTAGTCGTC